AAACCATTACCCCTTGTGCCACAACAGGACTAAAACCTCTTTCCCCATCTTTCTTATAGGCCCTCCTTTAGGTACTGAAAAGTACTGTAAGGTCTCACTGGAGCCTTCTCTTTTCCAGGCTGAGCAACCTCAACTCTTTCAGTCTTTCTTCACAGGAGAAGTGCTCCAGCCCTCTGATCATCTTTGTGGCCTCCTCTGGCCCTGCTCCAATAGGTCAATGTCCTTCCTGTGCTGAGGACCCCAGAACTGGACACAGCACTCCAGGTGGGGTCTCACAAGAGCAGAGCAGAGGCAGCATCAACTCCCTCAACCTGCTGGCCACACTGCTTTGGATGCAGCCCAGCATACAATTGGCTTTCTGGGCTGCAAGCACATATTCATGGATCACGTCCAGCTTTTCACCCATCAGCACCACAAACTCCTTCCTGGCAGGGCTGCTTTCACTCTGTTCATCCCCCAGCCTGTGTAGATAGTGGGTCTGCCTCAAACGAGGTACAGCATCTTGTACTTGGCCTTGTTGAAACTCATGAGGTTCCCAGGTGCCAACTGGATTGCTTGTCCAGGTCCCTCTGGATGGCAACCTGTCCCTTGCGCATGTCAACCACATCATACAGCTTGGTGTTGTCCTTGAACTTGCTGAGGGTGCACTTGATCCCACTGTCTGTGTCACTGCTGAAGATATAAAGCAATACTGGCCCCAGTACAGACCCCCCCAGTACAGACAAGTGGGACATCACTTGTCACCAACTCAATATGGACACTCTGGATGTGACCATCTAGCCAACTCCTCATCCAGCAAACAGTCCACTCATCAAATCCATCTCTCTCCAATTTAGAGAGAATATTGTCATAGAGGACCATTTCAAAGGCCTTGAAGAAATCCAAACAGATAGCTTTTCCCTTGTCCACTAAAGTAGTCACCCCATCATAGAAGGAGGCCACCAGGTTGGTCAGGCAAGACTTGTCCATGGTGAAGCCATGCTGATTGTCCAAAATCCCCTCCCTGCCCTCCACGTGCCTTAGCAGAGTTTCTAGGAGGATCTGTTCCATGATCTTCCCAGGCATAGAGGGCCTTCGCCTCACTGCCATGACTTTTCAAATAACAAGGAGGATTGCTGTTCCTGCATCACCAAACGTAACACGCCTTAGTAAGCTGGACTTGCTTTAAGTGCTCACATCTTGAGCTGTACTTCATTCACTAAGGACAACTGAGTTTTTTTCACTTCTCCCTGCCCCCAACCAAACTACTGGATCACAGTTACCTAGAACCACACAGTTATAGGGATAAGGGCTGGAAGAATAACTGCAAAATGCACCTGTAGACACTTCATCCCTAAAAAACCACAGTATAGCAACCAACTTATTTCTCTCTCTTCTTACTGTGATCAACTAAGTATGAACCATTCATCAATGGCGACTGCTAACCTCTTTAAAAGCTTAGCTGAAATGGAGTTCAGAACAGCAACATAAAGCTAAATTTAGCAAATATACACCTACTCTGGAGGCTTCAGAGGAAAACTTCCAGTAATTATACTGCTAAAGTCTCACAAGGTGACATTTGGAATGGGTGTGTTTTTCATGCAGGCTACTGATGTAGTGGTAGCATCCTGCAGTGGTTCCCTCCCTTGCTTGCTGCTCTGCCTTTCTTTTGCTCCCCTGGGTATCATCCTTTCCTCCTTCCCTCTCACAGCTCTTTCCCTGAACTGGCACTCTGACTGCCAAGGGGACTTTGGCCCTGGAGAAAGCAGAGGAAATCCCAGATGAGATACATGTGGCTAGAGAAATACTGGAGAAGATGGTGATATTGGGATGGTAAAGATGTAGAGTTAAGGCCATGGTACTGATGGTGGGGCTGTAACACCACAGCACTGTGAATTAGCAAAGAAGGACTTGTCATCCAACCTTTATCATTGGGTTACATAGTGTAACCCCATTCAGGTGACAGACAGGCAGTCTCTGCATCCCTGCATGCTAGAGGAAGAGCAGAAAGCATGGAAATACATGCCAGTGCTAGGGAAGAAGAGCTTAAGCACCAAGTCAAGCCATGGTCCTTTTAGGGAAGGGCAAAAGAAAAATAAAGGCTAGACATTGATGTTTTTTCCTCTGCTGAAGGGAGGGAGACTGGGAAGAAGATAAGATGGTAAATACAGTTGTTGACAGAAGCCCAGGCAGAAGACTCACACTAGGTTTCCTCTTGATACACTTCTGTCTGAGGTTCCAGGTCCTACGAGAGAACTGTCTCTCTTCGTTGACAGGTGCCCTAATTTCCATCTTCATTGATGAGCCTGGCACACAGCATGAACATACTAGGGTCTGATGCAGCAGGGAGCAATCAAAGCTGCAAGCTGGGGTAGGGGCAAGGTCTCAGGTCCTTTGATGAGGGAAATCTTGTCTACCTTCTGAGCAGGAAACCTGCTGTGGGGAGTACAGGGCCTATGGTGTGGAGTGGGATCATGTGGCCCAGGAATGGGCCTCCCACTCGGCTTCCTCACAGGGTACAGTAATAACACAGTGCAAATAGTGCATGCAGCAATTATCACCTCACACTGGGACACCAGACCAGTCTCTGCCTATTTCGAAAAAAGAGAAGTGTTGAGGTCCTGTTTCCCTGGGCTGTGACAGGTGCCAGTAGCCACGACAGAACAAACAGAACTGACTCTCAGCCAGCTCTGCTCTGTGGCTGATGCCACCTGACCCAACATGACTGCAGCTCATGCCTCCATCCCATCTCCACCCAGCCCTGCTGAGCAGCTGCTCCATCTCCCTGTGGTGATGTGGCAGCCAGCAGCCCTTCCCCACCTGGAGTTGCTTCCAGCCTCCATCAGAAACCAGCTCCTTGTTCCCATGAGCAGGCCCAGACCTGAGTCACAACCACTTTCACTTTTCCTGCAGGGATTTCCACCAGCCCCTCATGAAACCAATGAGAACAACACACACGTGACAGCATGGCTGAGGTCCCTGGTCTGCTCTGTTAGAGAGTCAAGAGTGGGTAAAGGAAAAAAATCGACACTTACCTTCAGAGCTCAAATGTTTTGTCATGACCAAATCAGTTGCCCTAAACAGCCTATGCAAAACAGTAACTTGCACTGTAATAACCTGCAATCACTCTGCTGGAAAATCCTAAAGATTCCCTGGTGAAATTTCCTGAAATCTCTGATAGCTATTGCACAACCCCGGAAACCATCCTTAATTTCATATTTGCTCCTTCCAGCAGGGAGATACATCACATGATGCTGGAAGTGCCTACAACTGACTATCAAAGGCAAGAAATGAATTCCAAAAGGAAACATTTCTGCCAGAATATGTATTTAATCCAACAAGATTAAATCAACAAGGTTATCCAGAGGTTGGAGGCTGAGGTTTGGCAGATGTCAGAATTAAAATACATGCATTTAAAAGAAGTGCTACCAAGTAACTTGGTGTGGTGGCACCATTTCTCATGTGGCAAATCCTCCACTATGGCTACCTAGTTTAAGCCTGTATGTCTAAATTTAGAGCTGAAAAACAGGAAAAAGGGCTGAGGAAGGGCTAGCATAGTTTCTTGCTGGTGTTATGTGTTATACCTGAATATAGTTATTTTCTTTAAGAATAGGACAATTTGATGTTTAGCCTACTTTATGACATGAAGCTTTGGAGAACATTCCACCACAAACTGCACTGTTCAATTTCTCCTTAATTTGGAGAAATTTCATTTAATTAGAAATGTCACAGAGATGTGCAACAGTGATCAGCATTCTGAAACTTCTAGCGGGATGCCATCATATTTTTTTAAGTTTAAAGTCCCTTTTCAGAAAAGCTGTATACAAAATACATGCTGCTGAGAGTATAAATCAGTAGATTTGGTGCCAACTTTCACTCCAAGGCAGGAATTCTTTGAGGCAGGTGTGAACCAATACACCCACACCCTTGACCACCATCTCCTATTTCTTAATTTACGTGGCTTCAACTAATACTTTCTCAAGTTTAGCCTTCTACTCTTGCCCTATCATTTTCATTCAATCAAATGTTTCCAGCTGCTCGATCTGACCCTGGCTGAAACTGTATCTTTATGCCTGGTCTTTTTCTGTCCTGTTCATCACTAAAATCCTTATGATGCAGATCACTAGAGGTGACCTTTGGCTGTTTTTTTTTTTGGTCTCGTCTACCTGTTGGTTATTTTCTCTAGCATTTTAAGACTCCATTTCTCAAACCACGGACAATTTAATTTTCTAGGTATTTATGAAAGTCAACAGAATCATATTTTTCTTTTCTTTGGGTGGTTTGTTTGTTTGTTTGTTTGAAGCTGGGGACAACCTTGTAAAGTAAAATTCTACATGGATACCTACAGTTTCCCAACATGATTATTTTACATCCAGTTGAAGTCTCCATTTCCACCTCTTAAAATTCATACACATGCTTCAGCTGTAAGGATTTTTCTTTTTCCTTTGTGACATTACTGCTTCCTACTCAAATCCTTCTGTCATAGTTATTCTTTTGGTGTCAAGGAGTAATCTTTTATCTGCTTATGCAGTGAGGTCCCTTTATGATGGTTGTGGTAATACAGATGTGGAAAGATGGTTAGCACTGGTACGATTTTATATCTCATTCACAACCATGAAGTATCCCTACTCACCCTTTACTCATCAATCCATAAAACAGCCACCTAGACACATAGTAAACCCACTGCACTTTTCATACTCACGAGTTACTTTGGTTTTCCATTGGCACTGTCTGAAGGAGAAATTAATTCCCATGTCAACACCTTGGATATAGCCTTTGATAGGGGCTTCTTTGCTAACCGTATGAAGACTTTATGAACGTCTGCCGTTAGATCTCAGTATATTGCTGCTTAAACCCTCCCTTTTGAATTGATACTACCTCAACAGCTCATCCATCAGAAAAGAGTAGTACAGAAAGCTCTCCTCTCCAAGACAGCCTGGGATGCTTTTTAAATTAAAATCTCATTTCATGACAATCTATTCAATACAAGTGATTGTATTGGCAGTGCTTTGCACTGAAGCAGTTTTACTGAAAAGATCCTTTATTTTTTCATAAATAAAAAAGAATATATTTTAAACTTTTTTTCACACATGAACGTAAAAACTCTGAAAGCCTTCAGAAATTAAAATTAACTATACAAAAATTGGGCTATCAATGTTAAATACTTAAACTTTTGTTACCACTAACTAATTTGTATCTTCTATTGGTATAAAAATCTTCATAGTAATGGATAATACAACATAAGAATTTCCTTTAACTGAATGTATTCACATTTTCAATATATAGCTTTTCCAAGCAAGTCGTATCAGTCTATGCCTTTCTTTTTCGTGTAGTTCCATTAAGTTCTGAAGGGGCCATTTGCAGCACTTGGTGTTGCTGCTGCTGCTGCTTTGTGGGACAGGAGAACCATTCTTCTGAGCTAAACAAAAATAAAAGCACAGTTGCTTATAAACAAAGCTTTTCTCTTATATATATATGTAATACATATATATAACACAGAGCTCCCCTTAGTATAAATAACATAAATCCCATATTTGTGTGCAGCTTCTTATTATTTAATTATTTTGTTAAAATGAAGAATAGCACCAGGCTAATATTAGATACTTTAAATACATAACCATTTCAGTTCTATACGTGGATAAAAATTAAAAGAGTAACCAATACAAATAATAAAGAGACATAGTAATATAGTGAACACTTGTTCAGAGATTCACAGAACACAACTCGATAAGATTTAAATAATCTTAAAAATATGACCGTAGTTCAGCAAAGAATGATGTAGTCATGAGGACAGACATGAGAAATGGAAAAGTCAGTTCCATGTCACTTTAAAGATACAGACATACAGATTTCCCAGATTTTGTGTGTGTGTGCGTTTGTGTGTGTGTGTTCAAATGCCCTTAGCCACAGAGGGAATGCAGAAGAAGATACACTGCCAGTTCAGCTCAGACAGTTACTTAGAAATAGCTGTGTAAGTATGATTCTTTATTCTGTAAAAATAATTTTTTCTCTGTTTATCTTTCCAGTATTTGAAATCAAACCTGAAAAGAGTTTATAGACCAAGTCATCTCAAATATTTCTGGGGTGTAACATAGTTGAATATACCAGAAAACACAGGGAATATGAATGCTAGAAGATGCCAATCAATCAGTTCACAAAGAGAAACAGAACTAGAATCATTAAGCAAATCTTTATATTAAGCTTAAACAGCAGCAGAAATTAAAAAAAATATATTGAAAATCAGCTTTATGCAAACTCTACTAATTGTTGGTTATTGTATACAAATATGAATAAAAAAATATGCAAAATAAACTAGTTTTTGTTTTGAATTCAGGATATGAGAAAATAATTACTAGATTCAGAACAGACTTACCTATACAATTTTTTCACTGTTTCTCTTCGCATTCTTTTGGGAGGTATAGGAGTGTCAGACATATCTAACATTATAGGTTGAAGTAATGACTCAGCGCCTTTATCTGATAAAGCAGGAGTCATACCTATGAAAGAGTTGCAAGTCAGAACAATAAAAAAATAAATTAAACCCGCTGGTTATAAATGGGTCCTGTAACAGATAGAGTTAAACCTCTGAAGTAAGGCTTTAGATATGCCATAAATTTTATGGTTACCTTATGTCTCAAACCAAGTTCAAAGGTGACAAGTAAAACTATCTGCTTTACTTATAACGGTCACAGAGTAAATGTTGATTTTTTAAATATATTTTGAAATATTGTAAATTATTTGATATTTACATAAAACCCATTTCTAACTCAGAAATACTATCCTTGCAGACTTAGGGGTGTTTCTTTTTATAGCACAATGTTTTGATTGTGTTTCCTTAGCAAAAGCCATTCAGCCAGCCACACAAATAGTTACATAATCTCTTATTAGTGAGATCATAGTTTCATGTTCACAAGACACTGACTGACCACATTTTTATTATCTGAACACAATACAGGGCAGTGCTGCTCTAGGCACTATGTACAGCATCATAGTACTACATACAGTTTTTCTATTCTTTCCTTAAAGTGCGACATCTCTAAGCTCTTAATGTTAACAACTTTCCTTCATAGTTTGAACTTCTTACTTTGCAAGAGCAGAATACATCTGGTTTCAGTTAAGTCTCCTTTAGGACACCAAAATTATAATACAATAACCTACCCAATTTCTGTTTTACTAGCTTGAGGCTTTTCTCTTGTTCAGCAAGTTCCTGTTTTTTCTTTTGCATTTCTGGAGTGTTCAGAGACTGCAAATGTAAATCAAGGTCCTTATTCACATTATCAAGCTTAACCACTGCTGCACGGTATTGCTGAAGAAGATCTAACGGAAGAATAAAATAATAAACCACAAAACAATAAATATTTGGCCATTTTGATTTAGAACACTAACAAATACAATTCAGACAATGTATAAATCCACAAGAAAACATATATTTCTAAAGCACTACTTAAAAAACACGCGAACTTATAATGGATTGGTAGCTGTTATTAAAATGACTGTAACGGGAGGCAAAAAATTACATCCAATATTTTGATTCCTCTTTTCTTTTTGAGCCCATATCTTATTTCACAGTACCAGCAAACTCTGAAAACGATGTGGGAAACTGGTATTACTTTACACATCTTGTCCCTTGTGTCTCCAAACAAATTCTCTACCTTTGATGACACTTAATGCTTGTAGTATGCTTTGCTTTGAGCGCTACAAAGCAGAAGTTTGTATTGCTGACTTGAATTGTATTCCACCTTGTGGACCAAGAGAACATTTACCGAGTTTCACTTTGTCCTACCTACGGAAATCTAATCAAGTAGACTCAGAAAAACAAGGGTATAGTTTGCTGACAAACCTTTTTCCTCTTTTAACATATGAGAAAAAGAATTTTTCCTTGTCCAGGCACTGAATAGATCAAGTAATAAAGGAAGGATTCAAGCATGTCAGCCTAGGCTCATTCCTTTTACTTTGGTGACTGTTAGGTGGCTTGCACCAAGCTTAACTGAACACTAAGTACCTACTTTCCTTTTATGCCACAAACGTTGAAAAAGAGCATGTCAGAACTAATGCTAAGAGTGAAATTCAGTTCAAGACAAGTCCTGTGTAATGAGATGCTGTCCTTTAAACAGAATTTTACTATGATTTTCCTTTAAATGTCTAGCATCACTCCAAGTGAAATTAAAACATGCCCTTTTCTTTTACCATGATTACAGAAAATGTCAGTTTAATTTATATGGTAATAATTCAGTTCAACAATTGAAAATGTGTTGATAGACAAATACAGTGTCCTAAATGCAGCAAATTTTAGCCTGTGGTTGACATGCTTACTATGTTTACCCTATATGTAATAAATTTACTGAAATGCCAGCAAAGATCCCTTCAGTCCTTATTTTTTTCCTCCTTCAATTGGTTAATGTTAAGTAGTTTGTTCATATATAAGGTTACTCCAGTAGGTGCATGTGTTCCCTCTCATTCTCCCCCCAGTCCTCTCCATTGCACATTTTTAGGAATACTGTCCTTTCTTTTGAAAATAAAGTATTTCATAGCATTATTATTTGTGAATAAGACTTTTCAATGTTTTACCAATCATTCAGGTCAGCTGTTACATGACAGAAACTGCCAACTTCAAACTTAATTTATAACTTTTATTCCCAAATGAAGATTCCAAGCACATAATGAAATGGAAGTGATCTCATAAGAAATAAAAGGTACCTTCTTGTTATGGTAATAATGCGGCTGTTGTGTTTATGAAATATTCTCTATTACGAAACCAGGAATTTTTCTACCACTGCTTCATAGAGCTTACTTGCACAGTAAGAAATTCTAAATTGATGTATGGTGTTTCCAGAGTAGAAAGACCTGAAACTTGTTTTCAAGGATGCTAGAATTCAGTCAGTTCAAGCTTCTCATGCCTGCTGTTTGAATTAATTACCACAGCTTATAGTCCCTAAATAAGACTAAGAAAAAGAGGGGAAAACCTCATTATTATTATTTTTCTTCTTTCAGGAAATTTAATAGCTATAAGCTTTAAAGAAAAGAGAAATTAATAAACAGGACATTGTGCAGGTCCTATTTCTTAAAATAACTTTATGCTTAACTGAAGTTTTCCTTTCTCTATTACTTAAGAGAATAACAAACATAGGCAAACAATATAATTTTGGAAGTTTTGTATTTTTATGACTTCATTAACCCACCTATCTGTCCAGAGAAAGTAGAATAAAGTTTTGGCATTGGTGCTCCAAATACCATTCCTCTGAGTTTGTCCATTGGAGGAGCTTTATTCTGCAGGCCTCCAAATTTTCCATTGCTGCGAATCCTGTCACCCTCCCTCGTCAGCAAGGTAGGGCAATGTGTAATTTTTACAACCTACACAAGTATAAAAAATGATACCAAATTAGTAACTCCCTGAAAAAAATCTAAGGTTTCAACAATGCTGCTGTGAAGCTTATTTTTCAACTGCAATGCAGCTTGCTCTCTAATCGAAACTTATTTTATGAAATTACATGTCATGACTTTTGCTTTCAAGGAACAGAATGCATATATTAAAATTAAGCAGCACTGTCAATAATTATGAAGACTAAATTTTTTTTTGGGTTGTGTTCTCAGCTTTTAGCAGAACTCAGAAGGCAGAATTTAAATTTATACTGTGGAAAAAGCTTATTATCAACATAGACTACGAAGCAACCGCCATCAGTACAGTTCTACATTCTTATGCAGAATCATTATTTCAGTTGTAGCAAACTCATGAGCTGAAATGGAAAGTGTTCCATTAAACCTAAATAAAATGGGTCATGAAGAGATCCAGTAAGTTTCACATCAAGTTTTAAGTCAAGTGGACCTGAAATTTCATCAAGTGCCTTAGACTCCTGTGTTTTATTATATATACAGCGACTAGGAAAGTACTGAAGGACCTGCATTTAACACTGACAGCAAAAGTGAAAATGTTTATCTTTCAAAACGTGGTGCCATGTGTCATGGCAACATTCCCATAACAGAATTTGTTAAAAGGAGGTAATTTTGTCAGTGCCAATAATAGAGATTTCAGTCATGTTAAGTGCTTTGAGACCCCACAGGCAGTAAGCACACTTCCCGTTAACACAGCATTAAACTTGGAAATTATACTAAGATTGTAATGAATTAAGTATGCAGCTATGCAGTATATCTGTAATACAGAATATCAAGAATAATTGAAACCTACCTCTTTTCTGTAATGGTTGGCAGCATCCAAGTTATCTATAATGATAGTGTCACCCAAGAGCATACCAAACACTGAAAAACATAATTTTTTGAACCATGAAATTTCTCTGCAACAAAACAACTTGAGTTTTGAAAAGTCAATTCTGAGGCATCATTATTACATCTTTTCAGATAAGTGCAAGGGAAATAGTATGTAAATGATTTTTTTTCAATGAAATTTTATTCTGAGCTTGAGATAGATATGTAATCTGCTTTCATCAAAGAATTCATAAAGAAAAAAATTAGTATGTTTAATTGCCTTTTGGCATAATTGATTGTATTTTCCACTAAAGTACTCTCTTGATATCTTTACGAAGACACACATATAAATTATATAAATTATCATCTTTTTCAAGTCCTCCTGGAATGATGAATTTTTTTCACAGTTTCTTAATATGTTTCTAAGTATTCAATGGATCATCAAAGAAAAAAAAACATTCACAGGCTGATAATCCAACTGAGTTTACTCTGCTGCTAAGAAAAGACTGTTCCATACAAAGTTGAACAAGGTAGTCTTGCATGAGATATGTCAAGCCAATGTGGTTTTAAATTCCCCCAAGAGACAATATCTAACTTTCTGAAAATGCACAGGACTAAAAATTGTTTTTTATTAAGAGTAGAGAGGAATATTTCAATAGCGGGAATTAGTGAAGTCAAACAAACTTATTGAACTAATTACAGATTCCAACTCTCCATACAAAGGAGCAGGTCTACTTAATTTAGGAAAAAAAAGTGTTAGAAAAGGTAGGTATTCTATGTTGTTAGAATTGAAATTTACATAAAAATTGAAAGCTTATTCTTACAACTATTAAAGCATAACATACACAGTCATGTTCAGTCTGCATGTACATAGATCTAAGCATTAAACATTTTTGAGAGGAATAGGACTGGATAAACAGCCTAACAAAAAGAGTAACTTCTGCAATTGGAAATATCAAACTAATCTCATGATTGTCAGTTTCTGCTTACAGGAGCTTGGGAATAAGATAATGCTGCAGTAACTTAAAAAAGAAAAAAACTCTATAGTACATCTAAATAGAGAAAATGAAAATAAGACAACAAGTAGAAGACAGTGGTCATGGCTGAAATTTTCACAACTGCTGTTTACAAATAATTAATGCTAATGTCCTCCTCTTTTTACCAGCAGACCTCACCAGGAATGTACACTGGTATTTGCAAACATCTCAATGAAGATTACTGAATGTATTATGAAAGGAAACAATTCCTTTCATATCATTTACCTGTTTGACAATGCTCTACGTTATCTGGAAATGTTAACAGATCTCTGGCAAATACAGGATTTCCAATAGGTTTGAAGAAGGTTTTTCCATTTCTTAAGTGAGGTAAAGGTCTGGTTAAAGAAAGAGAAGAGTGAAGGAGAAGACAATAAAAAAGCAATTTGTCCTTATTTCATTACTGCTTCTGACATCGAGTCAGAAATCTCAAACTGAATTGAATGCATCTTAATGCTTCCACATGAGGTGGTAAAATGATCCCATCATGATCTTAAATGTCAGTTATATTAAAGATGTTTTGGTCAAACACTGATTTTTAATGAAATATTATTTCCAGCAAATTCATATGACTAATTTTACGGACAAGTTTTAACGCACCATGTTATAAAAACTGAGATTTTGGACCCTACAAATAAATCTGTACATCAGATATTTTCTAAAGGGCATTCTTCATGGTATTAGTAGTCATTGTCATAAACAAATGACTTTCAGGAACAGAAATACAGTATTATCCTTTATCTTTCAGGTAACTGAAATAGTAGCATGAATTTCTATTACTACAAATGATTTTAGGGAAGGTACTCTGAAATAGGATTTTGAAAAGTTATTATTTGAAGCACTAGAATTATTTAAAAATAAGTTCCTGCTTGAGAAAACAGGTAGAAGTGAAGAAAAAAAAAAGGTAGATTGTCTTCTCTTTTTAATAGAAACACCTTATTAGACAAAGACCATCACACAACAGTTAAAGACATAAAGCTACGATTTCAGCTAACATTTCAAGTTACATTACTGTTGCTATAGTAGTGAACCCAGAAATTTTATACATTGAATATTTAATAGGAGTAAAGTTTAAAAAACAAATTAGACAAAAAAAAAAAATTTTTCTCTACCTGTTCCAGTCTGGGAGTGTCTTCTTGTAAATAGAATCAAGGGGTAACACTTGTTGTCGACCTTGAGTTTCATCAAAAATAGAACGAGCAGCTTCAGTCGTCAGTGTGACCACACAGTCCATGTCACTTGCCAAATGCCAAGAGATAACTTTTGCTGCCTCGTTATCCTCGATTTGAGCTAAATGTGCAATCTATACCACAGAAGTTAAAATAGTCAAAACAGAAATCAAGATCACCCCCCCTTTTCATGCTAAGCACAATAATCCTGCAACTTCAATCACACACTTAATTCCCCTGTTGATGGCTGTTAGAAGAGCAGGTCATCTGATTTGAGATAGCTATCTTTTTTCAAATACTCCTCAAAAACTACTTGCATATTCAGTTGGCTTCATGGAAATAACAAAATGCATTAGAAGGCTCCCTGAGAGAAAACTCACCTTGCCTAGAATATCTGGGTTGCCTTTTGGATAGTTTGGGAGGGTACAGGTTCTCCTTGGCTGCTTCATTACTCCTTCTTGATCCAACATCTTTTTTTTTAGAAGTGAATCCACATACTGAATCTGAGAACGTAAGTTTAAAATCAGCAAGCATGTATCATTGGACTGAGCAGCAGCAGTAGTTACTTTACCCCAATTAAGTTTCTAACAAAAAACATTCAATAATCTGAAACAGACTTTAAATATATAGGGGACCCACCCTACATAATCTCAGAGAAGAGGGGAGGCATCTTGCAATTGAGGGTGAACTTTTTAATTACTCCTTTTATTCTTCTTTTTAATTTTTGAAGACTTCAAGGAGCATTTCACAAAGAGCTAACAGCGTTTGATTAGGGCCAAAACTGAAGAAAGTTTAAAACAGTAGAAGAGACAGCCATGAATGTACAAAACCAAACCATTTCAGAAGGGGACTATGTCCAAGTCTGAAAAATTTAGCCAGCAGGGGGAACTTGGGTTTAAATTTTCATGGTTTTGGTAACTGGTGTGATTCAACAATGTTATATATTGATATCAATTTCATATTAGGATTAGTTTTATTTGAAAGATGTTAATGGAGTTTAGTAAGAAGTATGCCTTACTATGTTTGCCTGTGGTAATTCAATTTGGTGCTTTTTCAGTTCATTCTTCAGGAAAGTTTCTCTAGTTTCAGCTTCTTTAACCTGACCTGAAACCAATAAAATCAAGAGACAGTAAGGAAATACTAGAAAGCAACAGGACATTTTTCAAAATTATGCCTGCCACAGCTGATCCTATTTGCTTCTTAATTTTAGCCCAGAATGTCAGGATTTGTCCATAAAGATCTTGTGATTTGTGCATTTTCTAAGCAATTTCAGCAGATGTCACTCCTTCAGCTTCAAGAAGCAAAGGGGTCTAGATCTCAGATCAATCTGAGAATGTAAGCCGGTTTTAGTTTTCATCCTCAATTATCTTTCTAAATGGTTCTCCAACAGGTAAAATGGCAAGACAGAAGAGAAGAGTGCTAGCTGGCACTAATCTCTTTTGTCTGTTACAGGGGACACCACTTTCTGGACACTATTTCCTCAACTCTCATATCTGAACTGAAGCAATTTTGAAAACAAATGAGTAAACAGGTGTTTTCCATTCTCTATTCAAAACATGTTTATATTTGAAAATGTCACTTAAGCATAAAGTATAATGCTGTTCTCTAACTTACTGCCTACAGAGGTGCAAAAATCTACAAATATGAAACAAAGGAGTTTTATCTTTTACGCTGGAATTCAGGAATTCATATTCATAATGGAAACATGCAGTATTAAAATTTTACAAGAGACAGCAGCATATTCTAATTCTGGCCTGCTTTATTTACATTAAGTGATTACTCAAAACAAAAATTCAAAATGCAATTATTAAAACAAACCTTCTGATCAACAGGTAGGATGATTCAAACAAAAAAAAAAATGCAAAGAAAACTTTTTTTTTTCATTTCTCCCATTCCCATAAACCACTGCCCCCATATTACTCTTCAGTTTAACAGACTATATAAAGGATTATATTTCCTGATGAAGATAAACTTGAATAGCTACACAACACTTCTGAATAACGTACACAGAGTCAAATATGAGGGAAAAAAGTAACATTTTGAAAATATAAGACTAACTTTTTTAGAGAGGATTATCTACAGTTCATTTCCCAAAATTGGTTTTAGGCAACCGCTGAATCTCCAGATGTATGAGCATTCACACATTCATTGCAAATATGGGAGTGAAAGACAGTCACGGGAAAAAAGAATCAGACCAACAACTTCAATTACTTCTTCTGATAATTCTGACATAAGACATTCTACCTCAAATCAAGACCCTTTATAGGATGGTACATCCAAATAATTAGATGCTTCCCTGCAAGCTATACTCCCTTCTGTTCTCCTCTAATTACCGTCTCTCAATTTTAATACTGATTTTTCTCCCCTTCTCTATATTCTCAAATTATTAAAGGAAAAAAGTTAAAAATTTTGAGGAAACTGATCTACATATTTGATTGAACTTACATTTCATTTCAGCTACAAGCTGGTTAGTAGTATCAAACATCTTTCTGTAAAGATCTATGGACTTAGATAATTGGTCTTTCTCCCTTGTAAGTGTTGCCATCAGCTGCTGCTTCTTGGAATCTACAGAAATAAGCATATACACTTTTAAAAGAAAATACAGTAACATAGTTCGTTTAAACATTAGCAAAAATCTATTAACCTATTACATAGTTCTTAAAAAGTATTATGGACCTAAAAATAGTTGGTTCTAAGAAAAGCAAGTATTTCAGAGCAATTGACACACACCATTGTAAAACATAAATGAGAGATGATATGGTTCCAAAGGTTTTTTCAGAGCTGGCAGATGTGGCTCAAAGACAAGAATATATTCAGTGCTATCTCTTCCAGGACTGTCTTCAGCCAGCACTAGATTCTATTAAGACAAACAAACATACATAAGTTTATGCCCACACTAGAGGTAACACACAAAATAAACATTATTCAAATACTAAATCTTGTAAGTTACCTAACGCCTGATGTCTAAACAGTATTACTATGGTTTTAAGTATTCAGTTGGAAATGCCTTTTACAACTATTAAACAAAACTAAAATACAAAGATATAGCAGTAGCCATTTTATTATTTAAGAATTAAGATTGTCATTTTACCTGTTTAAAAAGTCGTATTATTTTTGGCTATATATTTTATCTCAAGAAACAGATGCTCAGAAAAAATCTCCTCTGTACTGTTCTGTAAGCAAGATTTCCTCATGTGTACTTCATTCAGTATGTGAAATGCAAACAGAACATTAAAAAGAAAGACCTGATGCATAAATATAGAGAAGGAAAAACAAACTATTCCCAGTGCTTAGTTAAAGTTACTGCTGTTACCATGGAAGTAGACAGCAAGTCCCAAATGAATGAACAATATATATCCAAACACTATCATGAACATTCAGTTTCTTATTAATTCCTTATGGAAAAGACAAACTGAATCCTTTGTCTTTCTTTATAAACATGGTAAATATTACAAAACCATAAAAAATGATAAACAGAAATAAAATTAGTACAGGCAATATCTAAATGTGCTGTTACTTTGGGAAAGGTATCATGCATAAAATGAATAATGCTTATAATAAAACTCATACTGTTTCCACCTTTAACATGTAGAAATTGCTACTCAACTGGCCAAATCAAGAGAGAGGTGGTTGCAGCCTAAAAGAAGAGATAGATATATAACCTTCAAAGATAGTCTTCATGGCTTTCAAAAATATTGCAGCTACATATTTTATCAGAAGTCTGTAGTGGAAATATCTTTTCCTTAGAAAACATATGCTAATAAAAGTCTAAACATTTTTCTTCATTAAACAAGTTTAGTATTCCTGAACCTGTGAGTAAGGGTAAATACGTCATATTATCAGATTATTCCCCTCCCCATTAAAAGTCATATGAAAAGTACATTGCATCACAACCAACAAATTCTTTCCACATGCGTTTTGTGAGTTGTTTCAAGTCAGCGAACTCAGTATAAACCAGATGACTGAAAACTGCCTGAAGAGAGACTGGATTCACTGAAACACAATTATTGCCAATGGGTGACTAGGGAACACAAGTTACTGTCAAAAGCAGAAGGATCTCATCAGGTCCCAGTAATGAGAAGGAACAAGCACACAACATCCTCCACCCCCTATCAAACCAGGAATATGTAAGTAGAAAGAAAAAAAAGTCTGCTTACCCAAAAAAAAAAAAAAAAAGTCAAAACAAGCCAAATTAAAAAAAATCCTAACACACTCCCCCCTCCATTACATAGGTTGTTGTCACTGAAGTAAGACTGGAGAATTTAGATCACAACGGCACAACAGCAGGTACATGGAGATAAAACAACCCCTGTTATTTCTGCATCAACGAGAAGTCAGAGAAATTATCCAGTAATTTTATCTGAACTGTCAGAGGCCACCCTACGGGGTTCTTATTATCCTCAACAGTATGAAATTTGAAACACTGTTCAATTTCCACCTCATTACCAGAGGTGTAAACGCAAGATTTGCAGAAAAAAACCTGTTTTGTTAAACCACCCTTAGCTATACTTTTGCATTTTTTCTCACCTCACCTGCCTGAGAAAAACGTCTTCACAAACCAAATAATGTATTACTCCTGAAACTTGGTTGAAGAACAAGAGAAACTCAAGAGTGTACTGTAAATTGATTATTTTATCTGATACCTCTATTTAGTCCCTGCATTTCATTTTTCTAGCTTGTTTTTAATAAATTTTTTTGTCACTTTTCCTTATGGATTAGAGTAGACCAGAGTTTGGTAGACTGTTCAGTGAAAAACGTTTGTCCATGTTAACTAGATGTTTCTAGTCCTTGACTGTTATCAACAGAGAACTATTTACACTGTGTCATTAAGTTTCATATATGTAGTTCCATTAAAGCAGTCAGTGTACTGAACAAAATATATTATGAAGAAGTTTGTATGTAGGACCTGTAGATTTTAGGATTGTACTGGGGTCTTACTGTGGTGATTTCCAAGATGTATTTGGAGGTTTTGTGTTCACTGCTATGCAATGCCTGCCTCCGCCTGGCACACACTGATGCTGGTCTGTTGCAAAGCTGCTTCCAATGAGCAAGTTTGAAAATGTGGCTGAGAAAACGTCCTAAAAAAAGTTGGATTCTCTTTCAGTACTCCTTCTAACTGTTCGAAGACTTCCATAGACTTTCATAGACTTCAGACTACTAAAACATCTGACAACAATCAAATGAAGTAGTCATGAAATTCTGCTCTGTCATTCTTATATGATATTTCAGCAAGTTGAAGAAAACAAGAAACAAATATACAACAGTTCCACCACAGGAATAGTCCTAGTTCTCTGTAGGCTTTTAAGAGAGAGATTGTGACCATTCCACAGAGAAGAAACTCTACACTCAGCTGGGTTTTTTTGGTGTGTTTTCAACAGTTTCTGCTTTTGTGCACGTTTTAACTCGTGTCTTTTGTATTATATTTTGTAACAACTGTGACAGATAGAAATTGTAGGCTTTAAAAATTTAATCTGTATTTGTTGTAGAAAAAGTGACTGTGGTGATCTGACTACAGTATGCAGTAGTTTCAGAGGTATGCATGTTGGTACAGCCAGAGATTAAAACCGAAATAAGGCAGTAATTTTTAGGAGCCAAATGCACCAATAAGTGAAACAAAACATAAAGAAAAATGGTACTTCTATCTTTACTTCTTCAAACGATGATAGGATGCCTTTCTGCAAAGTATATATAGCCCCACTTAGCTTGAGAAAATGTAAAGAGAACCTGGTAAAATTTAATTACAAATGTACAAAGAGGTTAGTCTAAAGGATCTTAAGATATTACAGCCAGAAAGTATTGTAAAATACTGCTAATATTAATGGTTTAACTACAGATTGGTGGTTATTTACATGTGAAATTCAAGTGAGGAAAATATTTGTTCTAGATCCCCCTGCTTGTCCCAGTCCCTAAGTGAAAGTACCTGTACACTTCCCTCACTTGGCAAGGATAAACAGTTTAACGAATGTCCATCCTTCAGGTTTTCTGAAAATCAGCAACCAAACATAGAAGAAATAAGTTATCTACTCATCTGTATGGGAAAGCTACAATATATACTAACCCTCCACAGAACACAATGAGATGTAAGATCAACTTTGACACTGTAGGAAAATAAACCTCATTAGATCCATTGCTCATGGAGCTCTGTATTTCAGTCACACTTACAATTGCAGCTGATCCATGCTCAAATGGAAACTCCACTGTACTGACTTTCCCCTGAAACTGTGGGATCTCTATATCTTCTTCATTAGGGCTTTTAATTTTTGCTATTATTCTGCCAACTAGTTCAAGTCCAGTGTGGTTGTTATATTCATCCTGTAAGTAAAAAAGACAATAAAGTTCCTTTGGTACATGAACTGAACTAAGTAATCCATTTCTATACTGCAGTGGATTTGCATGGTAAGGTGCTAGCAGTGGGGGGTTGCAGGGGTGTGAGGACAGGTGGGGGTTGCCCCATGCTGGACAGGGTCAGTGCTCCAACTGACCCACTGCAGGACACAGTTGAGCTGTGAGGAGCTGCTATGGATTGACTGTGAACCCCATTCCCCACCCACCTGCACTGTTTGGGGAAGGCTAGGGGAGTCTGCAGCAAAGTTGAGCCTAGGAAAGGGTGGAGCAGAAACTGTTTCTTTACTATTTTTAGTCTTTGTTTCTACTCAAATCTTTTTCAATTGGTGACAAATTACATCAGTTTTCCACAAGCTGAGTCTGCTTTGCTCATGGTGGTAACTGGTACATTGTATCCCTGTGAAGATGCAGAGTCCCAGAAATTTTATTTTTCATAATACAACATTTCTAAGAGAAACTGCCTCCTGGAAGAAAAATCATGGAGAGAAACATCTGCAGTATATACAAGTGCTTTCCCACCAAAATCTATTCTTGAAACAAATTTTTCCTGTGGCAACAAGAAGCGTGTCTGACAGTAAGGATCGAACATTTAAGTTTTGGTCATCTGTACATAAATGAAACAAGATGCACCTGTTCATACGCTGAAAAATCACAGATTTACATCTTTCTTTTTTTATGAAGTTAATCTGCAAAGAAACAGCAGCAATGCCTTACAGTAAAATTAAAAATACTTTTAGTAGTCTTATATATTTCCCTAATTATGATTTTGTATGAACGTATAGTTACCATTATATGAAGGTATAAATCCTTGACCAGTGTACGGCTCGTAAGAGCTCGAACATTGGAAACCGCTGGAGTAGCTGGTAAAGAATCAGGAAGCAAGCGCACAGGGTCATTAGGTACAACTTCAACTATAATCTAGCAGAAAAAGGAAGAAGAATAAAATAAACTAAAATAAAATAAAGACTGATGTAATTAACTGCAGTTCATCTGCACACTTGGGTTGCTCAAGAAGCACTGAAACAAATACATGAGAAATTTATGGACAATCCTGAAATAAATTAGCACAACCATAAAGCATTTCTACTAGGTTGCAAATTATGCAGCTCTGTTATTCCACCAAATTTTTGGTTATAAAAGTTAATGAAAACATATTTTGGTAATCAACAGTTTAAAATCAGTAACTAATAAAAATATAATTTTTTGCAAAAGTTGCAAGTGAAAGTACTTGCATTCTGAATCTACAAAGTATCATAACACTTCTCACAGATGATTCTGTATTACATGCTATTGGCTACATGCAATTAATTATAGATTCAAACCTGTTCACTGTTGAGCATATTTGTCTTATCCATTGCAAAGGTAAACTGGATACTGTAAGTGCCCACTCGCTCTGGAACCACTTTATCCCTAAATAAACCAAAAATAAAAACCAAGCAAACACGAGTCAGTACTGAAGTGACAAGTATGTAAGCATGCAAGCAATTCAAATTCTGAGTAGTCCTCCAACCAGTTAGAAAGCCATAATACTCTTCTTATTTAAGGTATAATACTCTTCTTTCAGCAAGGAAGCCATCAAAGTTTCTCAAGAATTGAGGTGAGACTTTTGGAAGCTTGAGTGAGGAAAGTCTCCTTCGAGAGTTTGTCTCTCCTAGCTGATAGGAAGTTTGTTGTGGCTCTACTGTTCAGAAATCTGCAAGTCTACTTCATTTCACTTCCCATTCAATGAATTTTCATAAAGCTTCTAGAGTAAAGCATAGACACACTTAGATCTGCAATAAATTCTCTCAAAATCTAATAAAATTTACATAAAATTTGAGTAGCTAATTCCTTCCCTTACTCAGATTGTTCAAAGTCGGGTAACTTGGACTACTTGCCCATGCTGAGTCCAGTGAAAGAAAAAACTGTTTTCATTTTATCGTACAGCATTCCAGAGTGTAGACTACTGGCAAAGAGCCCCTACCATCAAAACATGAAGGAAAGACCAGACGTTCTGCTGCTATAAACAAAACTTCACCGAGCAAGGAAGGTCACACGGCATCCAGAAGACCTTCACAGTGTTTAACAAGGGATAGCAGTGACTTACAAACGCTTAGAAACTTTGGAGGAGATCCAAACAGCCAAGATTCAGATATTTCTCTGAGGATGACTCGTGGCACTCTTGTACTGCTTAGTAAGACTTCTGTTTTCAATATACAGCATTTAATCTGTTTTGTTAATATATTAAGATATTTATTTTTTCTTCTTTTGTTTGGGAAGGAGTGATATGCAAGATTCCCTGGAATGTGTAACTTGTAAAAAGCAAAATTCCAAAGCTTTAATATTTCTAGAATAGGTCATGACTTTTCCATGTTTATATTTCATATAGAGAAGAAAGAATTCTACCTTCTTTTCTGCATTTTATCTAGCTTAAGACTGATAGTAGCATCTGCCTTGTCAGAATGCATAAAAAAAACTGAGTTGTAAATAATCTGCTAAGGATCTCACAGTTGGACAGATACAGGCTTTATGAAAAGAAGAAATGACACAATTGCTATGAAAGTTGTAAGACTGCATAATAGCATTCATGTTACTGACTGGCAATAAATAGATGAAAACCATTTGACTATGCCAAGAACAGGAAAACTTGAGACAAACCAGTGATGCCGCAGACACTGGTAGCAAGGACTAAAACGTACCTTTTCTACGAGTGCTGCTAATGGGCAGTGTCCTTTCAAATTTTTCAGTATAGTTGGGAGTTTTAATTCTGGACATCTGTGAACAACTAGTACACTACAGACACCGATGTCAAGATTTACATAATTCCATATTCAAGTTTATACAGGTTAGTTTATATCACATTGACCACAGTGCTTTTTACAGGAGAACATTTATTAGCACGACTACACATCAGCACATTCATTCTAGTTTTCTTTTTATGGAGGTACAAATACATGATGCAGAGTGCCTTGTTTTGATAACATTTTAGGGAGTTCTTATGTTTTAATTATACCTATTAATTATATTTAATTATACCTACTAAGTATTTCTCAGAATGACCAATGTTACAGAAATGTACCTCATAGTGCAAATCTGAAGCAACCCTCGGTTTCTAAAGAAGTTCATTTCATAACCTTGGACCAGCCACACAAAAACTGTTCTGTTAAAAGCAAAACTGTATCCTCATTTGAGTCTCCATGTGCTACAGCTGCCAAATTCAGCCTTAGACAGCTTTGGAACCTCAAATGCCTTCAAGGTAAAGACAGATCTTGGAAACTATACACAAAGCCATGCCTAAATAGTTTTTTGAATTAGCTGTAATCTCTTAAATAAAAAAGTCTTCATATACAAATACATCACCTTGCTGTACATTATTAGAGAAGTTAAAAAGACTGAATAAACAAGGGTTGTAACAATTGCCCTCCCAGATGGGTTAGTTTCTTGGTTGGATATGACAGATGGAGGTACATGTGCACTGCATAAAAAGCTGAGTCAGACCCCTGGATTTGAGTCTCAACTCCCAGGAAAAAAGTTTTGAAGATTTAATGATACATGAAGGTCCTTTTACAAACTGGATGCCTGGTTTCTGGAACTCTACTATGCTCCTCAAAAGGAAGGGGAGTTGCAGCTGAGAGACAAGTTAGGAAACTTCTTATCACACCTCTTGAAGTGCTGCCATTCAGACTTTCCTGAGATCTTAACATAACTGAGCTGCAGCAACCTACCTCTGTCCTCTAATGCAGAAACCAGGATCAGCTGTACAACAGTAGTATCTGCTGCAATAAGGTGATCCTAAAAGTCTGCTTTCTGAAAGCAGAAGGAAAGCTTACTCCTAGGAGGCAAGAGCTTGAATCAACAGCCAGTACTGTGACTAGTCAGCTGATCCCAGTGAGGGCCTACCAGAAATAGATGTGGAAAGAATATGGCAAGTCAGGCACCAGCTTAGGATGAGCTCTAGTTCTGTTGCTGGTCATCTAAGACAGTATCTCTGAATAAGTAGCTCAAGGAGAATACTAAACTGACAGGGCCAAGATTATGGTTGAGGATCAACTCACAGCTACAGGAGGAATTAAATAAAGAGTTAAGTCTGCTTTGTACAGCCTGCAATTCTACAGCAGTTGAACATTACACTGAAAAGAATTAAGGAATGTTGCTATACACATGACAAACTGATGATGTAGTCTCTTCATTGCTAGCATTTCTCACAATGCATTCTAATATATTATCATCATCATGGCCAGTCTTCGTGAACGAAGATTTGGGAAAGGTCTCTACCCACATTTGTTACAAGCGCGCTGGTGATACAGGGCTTTGCAAATGTGGGTAAGGCCTTTGAGCCTGCGCAACGGATTTTTTAGGTGAGAAGCAGTGTGCGCTGAACTGAGCCCACCCTTTAATCCTAAGGTTTATCTGCCGGGGCCGAGTGAGCTTGGACAGTGGCAGCGAGGTCCTCAGGACGTAGGTTTGTTTAGAGTGACCTTCTCTTGGATGGATGGTCTTACAGCGCTGAACGAGCTCCATCTGCCCAGGTTTAGAGTTGTCCTTCTCTTCTTTGTGTTCCGGGGCTCCCCTCTCATCTCCCACGATGGCACTGTCCGCACAGACGAAGCTCCCATTCTCTCGCTCCTTTCCGTGCCCAGGGCCGGGCCGCGCCACCACGCATGCGCCCGGGGTCGGCCAGGCCGCGCCGCCACGAAGCCAATATATTATCTTAGACTCTTCTCTACTCTCAGATTAAAAGAAAGTCTGAAAGTGTCTAGGGAAGAATTTAACTCCATCTCTTTGCATCTTGCCAGTATCTTTCACCTTTTCTTAGGACTGTATCCTACTGATTCCATAACAGACTGTTATTATCAAAACATAAAACTCTTGTTTCTATTTCAAACTGTGTATTTTGTATAGTAAGTTGCATCAGTAATTATAAAATAAATACTGTTATACCTGAAGTAGAAGAAGCCATCTTCCTTTTCATCCTTCACTTTACTACAGCTAAATGTTGTAACCTGTACAGAAAGATCCAAAAAATTTAATGCAATATACTGAAAGTACCTTACTTGTAACATGCTATCAAGTCCTAATGATTTGCAGTACTGATAGCACACAGTAATTCAATGAGATCACCTATAATTTAGGCACTAGTTTCATATCCTTAATTATTGGAATCTGCAAAATTCAGGGTGACAATTTTTAATCCTCTCCCTGCTATGAGTTAGCTACCGCAGAGCAGTAACATTTTTGTTATTATTGTAGTATTGATACTTGAGCAGTCTGCCAACTTGTAACAGGACAGATCCTGACAAACAAATATGGCTGATCTGTAATACTTGTTACTTAAAATCTAGAACAGGATATAGATCTAAGTCAAATGAAGGAAAGTTTCTACTACAAATATGCTTGGCCTATGCTGGCATTTTGACATCGGTTTTGAAAATGCATTTTGATGACTTACATCAATTGGTGACCTAATCCGGCTGCTCTGTGTTTCCCACATTTTCATACAAATCCGTGCTGGATTGATATTTTTAATAATGGTGTCATCTTCAGAAAGAACACTAACCATAAAATCTGTGGGATAAGAGACAACATTCTTTGAAGATTATTTTTATTGAGAATTAAGAAGCCTAAACTTCACTAATTTCTGTTTCACACCTAAGATAAAAATGCAGGCATGACTCTCTACAAGACTACAGTGCCCACATTCAGGTGTACCTGAGCTCACCAGTAAGTCAAATAATTAGGACGTTAAAGTATTTTATTTATGTAGTATTTAATTGATATGAGGCTGCTAATAAGAAATTACCTAATTTTATTAAAAAATGTAATGTCATATATACTATATAAGTTATCTCCTGATGAAGCTGTTTACTCTCAAAACCTGGATGATTTATACCACACACTATATTTGAAAAAGGTCTGTCTGGCAGGGAGGTTGGAGCTAGATGATCTTTACAAGTCCCTTCCAACCGAAACCACTCTGTTATTCTAAGATTCTACATTATGCTTTCTCTAGGCAAAACTAAAATACCCTGTGAATTTAATCAAGTTCATAACACTATATGGAGTATTCTAAAGAACAAAAACCTCTTGCAATAAAAATGTTGGCTGATCAAGTTAAGATGGTAAAGAAACAAGCCCCAACACCCCAGACTTTGTATTTGTGGGGGTATTCTGCTTCTCAGCTCCTAGTACCACAAACACATCCTTTTTATTCTAAATTTTGAACAGATGTTGTGGGTATTTCATAAAGATTTGGGAATACAACAAATGGATTTGTATGAAGCAGATTTTCAATTTTTTTTTGTCACCTTTGGATGACCTTTATCATCTGAGAATCCAGAAACATTTACAAAGGAATAGGTGGGAAAAAATCAGATGTTTAGGCTGAAATCTCACTGAATTGAAGACACTAATAAGAGAAACAATTTTTAAGTCCATCTAAAGAGAAAGACTGAATTATAGGAAGGACAGTGTCCTGTAACATCTTATAGAGCCTTTGGTTAAGAAACTTGTCAAAAGCTGTCTAAGAAACCAAGTACTCTACAACAGAAGGATCACTCGCATTCACACATTTGTCAGCTTCTTCAAATACCTTTTTAAGGCACCACTTTCCTGTACGAAAGTCATAGTTCCCAACTTGCTCCCACTTCTTAGCCATCAAGTCACTTAGTTATATTTGTTATATTCCTTCCAACAACTGCCCAGTACTGAAAACACACCACCTGATCAAAAGTTTCCTTGACCTCTCCTGAAACTTTCTGAAAACTGCATCAGATTTGCCACCTTACTTTATTGCTTTCAAATAAAGGCGAAATTAAGTAGGATTAGCATATTAGAGTTAATAACTTTAATTTATAATTAAGTGAATATCATTTGGTATAGGAAATTTCTTAGCATTGCATCAAATAGATCTCAAAGTCATCTACTGAAGATTCAAATTTTAATTTTATTCTTTTAAAATACAAGGCAGGATTCAAATGTGAAAAAAAAGTAGTTTGGAAACTACTTTACTCTCCTTCACAGATACTATTGACAAAATACAATAGGTTTCCCAGGTCTCAAGTTTGTTTTTTTTTTAAATTTCACTCAATTATTACTGAAGTCTTTTTCTGCCTTCCTTAATACGGCGTTAAACTTAAACTGACAGAATCTTCTTGCTTTCTATTTAATTTATGTAAACAGGACTTCAGCTTCTTGAAGAGTATCTTTGCAAGATACTGTATTGTCCATGGTTATTGTAAAGAAGAGTTGTTTCGTGAACTAATGGAATTAGTTAGGATAGGTCTCTTACTCATGCCAAAGTTTCCATACAGAAAAAAGCAAAAGTTTCAAATTCTGTTTCGCTTCTAGTAAAAGATATTTCCTCAAGGTTCTAACTTACTCTTCTTTATTTGTTTTCCTCATTGTAAATACTACTGGGATATAAAACATGAGATGTTTTTTTGTCTTTAATGAGTCAGTGGTCTTAGCTGGAAGGAAAAGATCACTGTTTTGTTAGAGAATGTATCAGGAGAAAAGAGCATTTTGTACTGTCCCTGGCATACTTCTGATCACTTTCTGGTTCCTCTTGACTCATGGCTGGCCTACAATTTCACTTCATTTCCTCTGTCACTATTCCATAGAAAAAGGGATGAGGGGAAACATGCATGAACTAGCTCAGATCAACTTTTGGGAAGATCAAAAACTGAAATATGGTATTTCACCAGAGATATAGATGAGGTTCTGTAGTTTTACCACTTACAGATGGATAAAACCAACAATTTGGAACAAATAAATAAGAAGTCCTTTGAAATGCTTTCCAAAGATGACCTACATATTTTTCTCTCCAAGTGTCACAGATGCATCTCAAATACAGCTGTAACAAAGAACTGAGACAAAAGAGACCAAAAAAGCAAGAAAATACACCACCGGAATCACTAAAACAGTTTTTCACAGGTTTACAAAGCTCTTGAGTGATCCACTAAAGGGTCTTTATACTTACCAGGAAAGGTACCTCCTGCTGGAAAAGCGGGACTTCTGTCATATTTAACATTCAAGCAAACGGGTTTCTCGGGATCAGGCAGGACATTTACTGTGATTACAGGACAATCTAACGTTGTCTTGTTGTATAAGGCTCTAAGCTGTAAAATGTGCTCTCCCCTGCAATATACAGAAATCATAACAACCGATATAAAATCTCTTCTGAAAAGGTAATTTTCAACAGGCTTCGAAAGTCTGAATCATGTATATGAAAGCATGACAAACAATATCTAGTAGTGGCGAAGTTGTAGCAAAGAGAAGACAAACCCAGAAGTGTTAATGCAACATTAGACAAGTAAAACTGTGAGTTTAAGCTATTCTTAAGATATTAGCTTACTGAACTTAATTTTGCATTATATTTCCTTAGTCTGATCGTGTTTCATTGCCTGTCTGTAAGACACTAGCCACCACAGCTTCAAGTAGCAGAAGGCAGTAAAGCAGAAAGCAAGCACAACTAATACAATTACTGTCTGAGGAGCGTTCTGCTTTGACAGTTTCCAAAGAACAAATCCAATACCATTCACAAGTAGCAAAGTGCAGTGCCAGTATATAAGGATTTCAGCACTATCAAATAACTAATTTTCTTTACAGTATTAAAAACTTAATTTTCAAGTTTTCACACATAACTGGGAATACGGTATTTAATTGCATAGAGGCTGTACTCCCCAGCCAGTTTTGATTATTCTATTAAGAGTATGATAACCTGTCTCTAACCTACAGTACTATATTGATAACTTAATACTCATAATCTTTCTACCATGACACAGGCATTATAAATACACTAAGTACCATCAACAGCATTCAAAGTTATTTTCTTCCAAACGTGAAATAGTACTATGGGCCAAATCCTGCACATATGAATGCAAACAAATAATCTAAAGCCAACCCAGACTTGCAAGAAAAGCTCAGGGGTACAGGGAGTGGATAGCAGAACTGTGAATAGAAGAAGATACAAAAATGATGAATTTGAAAAGCCAGATGGGACATATGAGTGTAAGGGGAGCCAGACATGAGGAAGTGAGCGTGAAGAAGCACATAAAGAAGCAGGAGCCACAGGACACACATCTGCCTGGAAATAAGACTTTCTTAGTTTGAGTGCAAATAAGAAAAGAAAAATATATATTTTTAAAATTCTTTTGGACACTCCACCTAATCCTTTAAAACAATGCCTAGCACACAGAGAGAGTGGAATTTCAACACTCAGAACGTGTTCCTACTTTGAAAGCATAGTGTCTGGAACGGGACACTTACATTTCAAATCTTTTGAGTGGTTTATGACACCAATTGCACTTGGTGCAGGTTGACAATTATAAGCTGTGTTTTACCATCACCAGAAAAAACAGGATTCAGAAAATTAGATTAGCAGCTTCTCAGTAGACCAAAAGAAGCAGCTAAGGAATTTTATTTAGTTAAGCACTTAATTTCTTAAAACTCAAAATTTGGCCATCCACCAACATACAAGCAATTAATGTTTGATCTCAGCTCTAGATTAATACTTGGTAGGTACTTTATGAAATGCACAGCTTAAATACATCTAGCAAGTAATATTTCCGAATTCAATTTTTTTCAATCTAGTTTTCACTACTTACCTAGGTCCATGAATACTAAAAACTCCGAGGTTAGCCCTACCAGTGTCATCTGTTTTATGTTGCTGGTTTGAAGGAACAAGCTGTCAAATAAAAAAATTTTATTCTTTTAGTGATATAGAAGCAGCATCAAGTCTTAAAAGAAAATATGTATCTCATTTGCCTGCATACTGTCTGTTGATTTGAGCTGTAGTCTCTTTGTATTTTTGCACTCTAAATTAGGGAAAGACACTGTTATGAATACTAATTTATTATGAATACTAATATTGTTATGAATATTAATAAAGAAGTTTCAAAAATCTCTGCCATCTTTTGTAAACAATCACTTTATCTGAAACAAGGATATTTTTCTTCATCAATATGTTCAAATATTTTATTAATGTTATTTTTTTAATTGCTACTGATACTATCATGTCATCCACGGTAGACATTAATCTGAGTATATTTTCAGATCCAAAAGCCTTCTAAAAACTATTTATTTCCTTTTACAGTGTTTCTCTAGTCTGGACAGAGATTTCTGGGTAGCAAAAGTTAAATAATTATACAACTGCAGTAAAAACAACTATGACAACTGTCTCTCAATATCATCTTGCTGCCAAAAATGTGAGACTGTTAGACAACCTAGAAGAAAGTTTTAAGTGATGAAGTACAGTACCTTATTTATCAAACATCATGATAAGCAAGATCTCTATACCGTAAAAAATGGCATTTAATCAAATGCTAATCATGATAACTTCTTGTCAGTGTTGTTTTGGGCTAACACCACAAATGGCTTATACATCTTCTGTTAATCTAGCACATTAATTACCTCCAATTCTAAGTCCTTTAAGTCTTATGATTAGCAGTAGCTTTAAGTCATACCTGCCTTACTTAAATGGCAGAGAAGCTATCACTTTCCTCTTCAGCCACAACTTTTTGAAACTATTGCAGATGGCAAATGCCTATCCTCTCATAGAGACAAGTGGGAATCTTAAAGAATACTAATACACCCCTTAAGTAAGCAGAAGCTATTTCTTCTGCAAACTTGTGTGCATGCTGCTTTAGTCTTACCCAAGAAATAGTTTGTCAATGTATCAAAAGAACCTCAGATAGTATCTTTAGAGTTTGGTGGACAGCAAAGCCACGGATACATTCTGAGTTACTCTGTAATGAAGTCCTCACTAGGGAGGGAAATCAACTCTTTGACAGACGATACAATGCAACAATGTGGCGTAAATGTTTGTCATTATCTGAACAGTGCTCGGCATTAAATTGCTTTCCCTTTACTATTTCAACAGAAATTTCAGCAGACTGTCTAGTCTCCACTCAGACAAAAATAATGATTTTGGACCACCTGAAGTGGGCAATCTTCTTTCAAAATTATTTTCCTTCCTGAACCTCATGTCAGTAAGAAAAAGAATGAAACCACTTCGGGAACGGGGGGGGGAAGTGAAAGTTGATTCATCATGGATCAGCTATGGAAGCATGTGTTTATCCCTAGCAAGTCACTAGAGAAAAGCAATGGCAAAAAATGCGTGCTTAATGGTTCAAATGGAAGGCAGTGCTATAAAGACAGACTAAGAAAATTGCCAAACATTTCGTAAATTCTTTTGAAGAGTATAATCAACTCAAAATAGGTCTGTATTTGAAACTACCGTCACAGACTGAAAAGTTTTAAGTTTTACAGGAACCAGTACTTTGTGCACTTCCACTGAGAGTTCAAAGTTTTTATGTTCAGCTATACTCATTTAGCTTTGGACTTGTAAGATAGAAGATGGAGTAAAGGAAACACATGCTGCAACTGCATATCAGACTTTGGAGACTTAGAGACCGGGATGTGAAATACAGAAAGACAGTTTATTCAAGAATTTCAGTTCCCAAAAGCTTCTCAGTTCTTTTGTGAGACTGTGCATACAACCTATTGGAAATGCCAAGTTCTCTGAAGAGTTTCTTCAAGATACTAATGAATACTGATCTGATGTTTATTCAACAAATATACAGTTGGTTGTTCTGTTTATGTGTGAAACTTATTACACTGGTTTTAAGCTCTAGGAGAGCATGCCATAATAAACATATTACAACAATGATCCACCTTGGTTTTCAGAACACCTTCTCCTGGACACATCCACCTTAGATAAAGAACATGTGGACTCTTTACATGATGTTGGTCCTCCCTGGAGCAAGGCATAAAATCCGAAAAGACACAGCCTGCCACCACAACAACTCTTTGATGAGGCAGCACAACCACACAGTGTTACTGTCAAGGTTGTAGGTTCTCTCAAGAACAACATAATGAGAAATGCCAATCAGCTGCAGCTGCCATCATAAAGACAATAGTTGGGGCAAAGAAAAATATCCTGAAGTATGAGGCAGGCTTCTACGGCAAGAGATGCAAAAGAGCCAGAAGAAAAATATTAAAGATATCATGAAATCTCCTTTAAAAAATCCAAGAAAAAAAAGTAGTAATAGCATAGTTAAACTGGGAAAAAGGTGAGGTTGTGGCACAATTCTTGAGAAGTGAGCAAAAGACAGCTCCTAGCTGTTGTGTATTCTGAGAGAACTGAGGGACACAGATACATGGCAAGCAGGAACAAAAAGGGAACAAGACCAGCCCTGCATGAAAAATGTTATGCCCAGAGGTGGATGAATATATCCTGTACTGACAACATATACATTTAATGTAACAACCTCTGCCCTAATAGTTAGGAATGTTTGACTGCTTGACTTTTTTTTTCAATAACAAGAACAAAAATTTTAATTAATGGAGTATTCTGTCAAACTCCTTTCTTTTAACAGACCAGTGTGGAGACCAGCTCACACATCTCACTCAGGGAAAGGGCAGCAACCACTTAAATTTGGGTTAGATTGTTTTAATTTAATTTATTCTGCCAATGCATTTCACAGGGATAATTAAGTAGGACTTACAGACCATAAGTCATACATTCAAGAACCAAAGTCAAAGAACCACCAGATAAAAATTACTTGGTTGCTAACTGGGACCACATCATCATCGTTACTGTCATTCAGTTAATTACCTTAGATACCATGGGGAATGAGGTGGTGTGATGTGCACATAAAATTTGGAAAAAGGTTCTGTAGAACACCTGGAACCTATTCTAACACTTTGACACTGTCCTATAGGATTTTCGTTTTATTTGTGATTGCTATAATGCAAGAAAACTGAACAATCTGTCCTGGGAACTCTTTACATTATTTGTTGACACTACTATTATACTAGATTAATTATGCTTTTGTGTTCTTACAATAATTAACTTTTCCAAAAACGTCCTGAAAATTAAGAGTGAAACCATCATAATAATGTAGACATGACAAAAAACCTTGTGTTAAACAAAGTTGACATAATAAGGTCTACACTTACCTTTAAGTTGTTACTCTTTGTAAGGCTGATTTTGACATTAGGTTCAGGAGATGGATTTCCCCACTGATCACATAACTGAACAATAAGGGGCCTGTCCAATTCTCTACCATTAATCACTGCAATAGGCTGGAAGAGAAACAAATACATTATACTATTCTGTCCTAGGTATCTCAGATGTTCATGGAAGGTCAGAAATTCCCAAAGCAATGGTATCCATCGTTTCAACACTATTTGTCTCCCATAATAGCTAGACCATGATAGAATTGTATCCACGAGGGTATTTCTGGAGTTTCCTTATTTACATTCTATTGTCATAATAAAATGCACTACTTGGATTGCACAGGTTACTCAAGTCGATGTGACTAAAAGGAAGGACATGTTTCTGAAGAGGACTATCAGTGTCCTTGTTGTAGGAAGAGTTAAAGGTTTAAAACATTTTTTTTCTGATATACTTTAACAGCTATCTATAGAGCAAAACTAGTTATGCTACTTGCTGAACCTTTTATTTTCTTCAGTAACTTCCTTCTCCATTTTCCCAACACACCAGCCTTGATTCCTGCCCTCTATTAAGAGATCCAGTTTTCTTTTTCCCTCTTTCACTGTCCTATTCTGGTTTCTGCTGCAACTTCAGCATTATCATTCGATTAGTCAAAGTAAACATTGAAAAACAATTTAAAATTTGAAAAACAATTGAAAAACAAGACAAATAAACGTATAGTACCAAAAATCTTCTGCCTTCTCATTCAAGTCCTGTACTCCACTCTCCACTTTCTTACTGTAAACATTTGTATACTTAGGTACATTTGAAACTGCCTTCCTACATCCTAAACATCAAAAAAAAATAGTAACAGACAAAGGAGAGATGAGCTGCCAGCTGTCACTATCATTAAGGACTGTGTCTTTGGAAAACAGCAAGGAAAGATGAGTGTCAGGATCCAGCCCACAGTAAAAAATTACTGCACCAAAGAAAGGAAAAAATATGCCATCTGTAGAAATGCAAATGGGGCAGAATAAACAGTTTAAGACATACTGAAGGAATACAGTGTTGTAAACATATACATATGACTTAGATTACTTCAAAATAAGTTCACTTTTAAAAACCTAATGTAGTTAGCTATTGCATGAAAAATGCTTCATATCTATAGTCCCATTTAAAACACATCTACATAATTAGATTGCAAAATACTTACTTAACATTGCTTGTGTTATGTTGTCCTGTATAGAATAAAAAAATGCCTCTAGAGCAGTCATATTCTGACAATTTTACAAGTATAAATACTAAGAAATCACGATCTGTGGTCCCAAAAGCTCTGGAAATAAAAGGACCTGACTAGTGATCATGTTGCTTTTTCTCTAAAACAAAACTACTGAACTTACCTTTTCTAATTCTGGCCAATCCACAAACTGCAATTTAGCAGGCAATCCTGCTATTAAATTCACCCTGAGAAAGTCAGAAAATTCACGCCAAGCAAAGCACAATTCTTTGCTTCCAAGTAAACAGGGTTTGTACCGAATACCTTTTACTTTCATTGTTTGAGTACTGTCCTATTAAAAAATAAAGAAGATTTTATAAAGAACAAGTAAAGTGAAGTATAGTTAATTTTTTTTCAATATAGTATTTAATATTAAAACTGTCTAGACACTATTTGCTGTTTTTACTGTGAAAACAGTGGATTAAAAATTAAAATGCAAGCTCTATGCCTTCTGTTAAATTTAAACGAACTTCTTGAGTAAGAAGTGATCAGTGAAATTGAGCATTTCTCAGAAACTTGTTTTCCAGTGTATAAGTTATGCACGACTTGATTATATCCAGTATACTTTAAAAGGTATAGACATTAGACCATTCTACAAAGTTTTTCAAAAGATCTAAAATCAACTGTACCAACACAAATAAACACAGAAGAAAAGACTAAAAACAAGACAGAAGAACACACTGAACAATGGACTAGAAACAAAGCAAACCTGACTCAAGCACAAAGCAAACTGGTCCCCACATTGGATAGCTGCAGCAGTGATAAGGTTTTTAACAGATGCTGCTGTATTCCTTAGAACTGGATCATAGAATTTTAAAGCTTTAAGCCTCTTGTTGCACATCTTACCAACTAGTGTGTAATTTTGGTTCAATTCTGTGTGACAGAATTCAGACAATTACCACACAAATGCCACGAAGAAATAAACTATATGACACTCTTATAAATACCTGCCAAGTTATTTTCAAATTTGATTTATCAAGTCCAGGCCCAGAAACTCCTAGGGAATTTACACATGCAGATGTCACTGTCTGAACCTGATTTCCAAACTGATCTGTAATCATTACATCTGTTAAAAAAGATGATGATGGTTATTAAGACGATTACCTCAGCAGCTACTTTAATGAAACATTATACAACATATGGAATATAAACGTACACAACATAGACACAATAGAGAAAATTTACATGACTGAATCGCAGAGTGGTTGAGGTAGAATGGGACCTCTGGATGTCACCTGGTCCAAAGCCTCTGCTCAAGTAAGGCAACCTAGAGCCAGCTGCAACCAAGCAGCTTCTGAGTATCTCCAAGTACAGGGACTCCACAAACTCTCTGGGCAATCTGTCCCAATGAACAAACTCAGAGCCAGATTTTAGCAGAGAGTAACTCCAGAATTGTATAAGGGCCACTAGAGAAGTCTGATCATCTTTCCATGAATTAGAATATAAACCTAGTTTTTATATTAAAATAGTTACAGATAATTTACTCTTGTTGACATCTGTATACAGAACAGGCTTAATAAACTGCAAAGAAAAAGAAATGTATCTTAAAAGAAATGGAAGAATATGCAAATACTCACCAATTTCACTTTGTAGTTCTTCGCCCATCCGCAGTGTGTTTGAACCTTTTAGTTTACATTTAATGTGTTTGGGATCATCAGGAACTGGTCTGAAGCAGCATATGAATATTGACTTACTTTTCCCATCAAGGTAAACATAACATAATAGTAGGCATGATAAATATCTTAATGCTTAGTCATGTAATTTATTTTCCTACTGCAGATCTGTGAAATGACTAGTTGCTGCAAATTTACCCCAGCATCAGTGTGCTGTGACCTAATTAGTTTATTTTAACCTATTAACATCACACAAAATACACTAATTTAGAATCAGATTCATCTTAATAAACTTCATAAAGATACAAGGAGAGCTAACTGCCTAGACTCACTAAGAGTGATAAACACACAATTTTAAGTTCAATTTACAGCCTATCTTTTTTGACTGAGAAACCAGATGCAGAACTAACTTCATAGTGATACTTCTCTTCAGTAACAAGTGACCTAACTCTAAAACTAGTGATTTTAAGAGCTATTATTTACTGAAAATTTTCAAAGATAATCTTCTTCGGTGTATGTATACTTACACAAGTGATTACTGCATACAAACAGATCATGATGGAGTCTTTCACATAGGTAATGTTCTCACATGTAAACAATTTGCACAAACTCTTCCTCCCTCCCCCAAACTTACATTCTCCTGTTAATTTGCCAGCTCATTTCATTATTTGAGCTTCGTAGAAAGACTTCTGTTTTACCTCAAAGTACAGATCTACAATGTTATGCCAACAACATAATTAATAAAAAATATTTGAAATGAACAAACCTGACTGTGAATGCACTCTCCAAAGACACGTGTTCATCAAGATAAGTAATTAGACAGTAACGTACATCTTTTACTGAGCTCGGTACTTTTACATCAGGTAATAATCCCTGCATCAACAGTTCTCTGTCAATTTTAGGTGTCCAGTTAACCTAAAATTAAAATGTCATAAATTAATCAAAAGCCAAATTATTAATAATTAACTACATAATACATCTTTTAACCATTCTAACATAAAGGCAATAGAAACCTTCAATGGAAAGCCTGTACATTTCCCAACAGTAACCAACACTATCTTCCCAAATACAGTCAATTCCTCAGAAAAAAAATGCACACAAATCCAAACATACATTAAGTTGCCCTCACTAACCCTGAGTTAGAAAAGATCCAATTCTGAAAAACCTCACCTAAAAAAGCGAATCTCTATGTTTGTATTAGACTCCAAATATGTACACAGACAGGGAGATAAGACAGGCAAACAAACCTCCATAAGGAACATGCTTTTTCAAAAGTTCCTAAATGTTGGGAAAGCCTCAGATCTGAAGAATCGTAATTATGTCCTAATTATTTTATGTGTTTAGGAGAAGCACTGGAAATACTAACCTGCTTTTCATAGTACCACCCTGAAGCATTATTTAACATTTAATTAAATAAAATAAGAATATTTAAAAAAAAACCAGAGAGTTAAGTTCCCATGCTTAATAACACAGTCTTGAGGAATATTATTTCACAGTCTGATGTCTATGGATTTTAAGGGAATAAACTTTGTATCTCTCCCACATACCATGCTGTTGTTTAGTTCAAAGTACTTGCCTTGATTTTTTCTGCAGCAGCTGCAGTTATGGGTATCTCCCTTTCTGCCTCATCATACATCTGAAATATAAGCTTGTTCATGATACGGCCAGCAACGCAACTAATTTCATCCTGATGTTTAATTTGAAGAGCTTTTTGTCCGTTCATACTTAAGACTTGTAGTCTTGCAACATGACTGCTAGGAAGAAGTTTAATAATCTTTTCCACTGGTGGTACATCTTTACAATTCTACACATGGGAGGGAAAGAAAAGACATATAATTAAGATATTAAATGTAGATACACATAGACATAAGTCCATAATAGCTTATGTCACTACTCTGGTTTACCAGATGTGATCAGGTGTCTAGACATGAAATCAGCTTGACTTGTCAAAAGTAAATCAAAAGGATGTGCCAGTATACTTACAACTTTTTACAGATATTAGAATTGATGCTAGCTATTTAGAATATTTTTCTATTCTAGAAATACTATGTTACACAATTTACAAAATATTTCTTAAGAATAATCATAAGTATCCTTTCATATAGGTCATCTTGCAATATTAGTATTTGTTTACACATTTTTCCAGGGTAAACCACACACAGGTGTTATTTTCTGCAGCAGTGTGAGTCTCCTGACTACCAGAGAACTGGTATGTTCAGTAGCATTTTTTAAAAAAAATTATATTTCAAGAGATTTAAAACTGAAATGCTACAAAAAACTATTGATTGCTATACCTTTTCTGACACTAAATGTTTATGCAATGACAATGCAATTTGTCAAAATAATCCAGGTAGTAATAAGGGGCAGAAAATATGCATATTTCTGAAAACACCTCACGGATTTAAGAAATAAAGAGTAAGAGGTGAAGAAAAAAAAAAGTTAAAAAAGTTAAAAAATTCTTTGTCTTTTTATGATTTCCTAGAGATTAAAAAGTGCAGCCACCTGATTATCAGGCTTATGGTAACTAAACCAGTAACTTTTAGGGGTTGATTCATAAAAGATGTAACACAGTACAATAAACTGTTTTTAATTTTTTGTTCATGCAAACTTTCCAAGCAATACTTACAAGTATTTCAATTCTTGCTTTCAGTATCTGGTCTTTCTTGATATTCTGTACATGAATAACTGGACCAGTTAAAATGTTTGTTCCTCCATTACTGCAGTCCACAGAATACACAGGAAGGTCTGAAGCACCTAAAAACTATTAAAAACTTAAGAATAAATTTCAAGTTTCTTTGACAGAAGAAAAATGATTACTCCAGAAATTATTATTTGTACAAGTCCCTATATATATATATATATATATATATATATATAGGACTATATACAGAAAAATTTGATATATTTCAGTTTTCCAGAAGCCTGCAAGACCAACACCTGTAGTTTTCTGCAGGTGGTAAGAGATGTGTGGGAGAAAGGAGGAAGTTATAGAAATAAAATATACTATCCATCCAACTGCTTTGTACTAACGCATAAGCATTAGTCTCTTCTGCCATTATGCAATAAATTCAATTAAACTCTGAAGTAAACATAATTTTCATTAATTTACTAAACATCACGCATTAAATGAATTTAAACATTGAGTTCAACATATCATACTATTGCAGACCCAGCCTGCAGGAAGACAATGTATGCATATAAAGCGTAAGTGGAATTTTGCAGTGAGAAAAACACTTTTCTTTGTTCTTGCTGAATTTCACTAGAATTGGAAAAGTTACTTTCTTGAGTCAAAAAAAAAAGGGCAAGTTGCCAAAAGAGCAAGTTTTTTTACTTCTTAAAGTCAGAGCAAGATATGCATTCTCTTCTGAGCTTAGATTCATGTCTATGATAATAGTCTTATCAAATATTCATTTTGGCACTAGACTTGCTTTTTTCAACTTAAGAAAAATATCAAAAGTAAGCTGTATGAAGTTATTTTTCTGAATAAATTTTAACATTGTGTATATCCTCACATAATTTTCTCTTCCATTTCTATGGCCTAGTTCCACTGATTCTAAAACTTATTGAATGATTTGTAACAGATGAGGTAAGAGAGTCACAGTTTGGCTACTGAACTGTAGAAACTTCAAAAGCATTATTAAAGATATTAAACTCTATCTAGATTCCAAAATAGACTCTTCTCTCAGCTCTTTAAAAAGAAAGTTTCAAAATTCTTATGGCACATAATGAAATGCAGTTTACCTTACAATGAACAATCAACTCTGGCTGTGCTGTTATATTTCCTGATTCATCCAGTACTTCAACCTGAAAGGGAAAAGCTGTACCATTTTCAATCTTCAGAATTTCTGAATCTGGTTTTACTTTCAGTTGATGAGGAGGGCCTGTAAAAATGCAGAATTGCATAACAGCACTTATATTTTAGCTAACTAGTGAGACACTGAGTTTCAGTTTTTGCTATCTCAAGGAGTTTTTAAGGCCAAGCTACCAAGGTATGTGTGGTAACAAACCACCTAAAACAACTCAGGTGTATTGGTTTATATTTAAAAGTTCTAGACCCTTTTTGTCCTTCAATACATAACACCTGCCAATCTTTTGAATTCAGTATGGAATAGTTAAGACAAGATGAAATTCAGCATATACAAGGTGTAAACACAGGATATGGGTCTGTGTACATACTAATGGATTCACATTGATCAAAAAGAACCTTGGAGCTTTCTTCTGACATGTTAAAACCCAAAATATTCATGTTGAAATATCTGATTAATTGCCAAAGCTATCACAGGTAAAATCTGCAAGCAAAGAAATGCAAAAGAAAACTTTGTTGTCATTACTTGGACAGTAAAGTGAAGCTATTCAATGAAGTCTATCTCCTTGAACATATAATTATTTTTTATCAGTTTTAACAAAGACAAGGAAGTAATAGATTACTATTAAAAGGCAAGTCCTGAAGGAATAAAGAAGGCAAATTTTCAGAAACATCCTTTATGTATGATGCATTAAAAACTTCCATTTCAAACTCAGTAGTTGAAGAACAAGAGACTGAAATAGCTTTTATTCGCTGCTTCCTCAAAAAACAGCTTTAAAAGCCAAGGATAAGTCCAGTGAGAAGAAAGAAGAAGAAGCATCTCTACACTGCCAAAAGAAAAAGATTCTCACGAAGGACAAAGCTGCCTTCAGTCCAAGGTAAATAACAGCAATACACAAATACACAACACAGCCTGTCTCAAGTTCAGGCATTCCACTCTGTTTTCTATATGAAGCCTTACCTCCTCAAAAGACAAAGAATAATGGAATAAACTGCTCATTGTTGGCCTAACAAAGCTTGAAGTACACAATTTCTATGCAAAATGAGACACAGACGCCTCAAGTTTGGTAATCTGGAAGGCCAAAAATCAGCCTTCAGACTACACCTTGCACCCCAAATTCAGAAAAACACAAGTAACAAGGGATAACAGGTCTCATATAAGGGAATCCTCAGCATCAAGACATCCACAAAACATAAAATTCTGGTAAGGGCAGTGTCCTTACAGACTTCCAGGTTCCTCTCTTGCATTATGATTAATTCAACATGTAACATTAAAATTTCAGTCACAGTCCAATTGCCAAAGCATCCCCTTTGCTGGGATAGGAAACTGAATGAGCACTTACTCATTCACAACATTTTTTCTACAGGGAGAACAGGTCAATGCATACTAGTACAGGTTAAAGATCTTAATGCTAAAGAAAAATTAGAAGAAATTAATTCATTCAATGTTGCTATGTTAGAAAAAGATTTAAAATGATTAAAAAAAGAAACGAAAAATTAGTCTCCAGTAAGCAGAAAAATTTCAGCTGCTAGAACAATAGACAGAATTGGGCTGTATGATATTACTCCTGCCAAGAATGACATGCCCTTAGGTTTATTTAGTTTCTAGTCATCATTTGGATGAGATAGAATCATTTCTTTATACTTCTCTAAATGTTTAACCTTCTTGGGAGAAGTATTTCATTAATAGTGTCAGAATAAAGTTCAACAGAAATTCATTAAATATTTTAAGAATACTTACCAGGCTGCAATCTTATTTTAATGATTTGTGTGTCTTCTTTCAAACCAGGAAGAGTAATCTTCAGATTAAAGTTCTGATGAAAAGAATATTTTAAATGTTAACCTTAAAAAATCCCATACAATAAACTGTCTAACATAATCATGTCACTTCACATATATGTAAAATTTATCTCTACAAATTTTCTTGCACTGCTAAAAAAAGGGAAAAAAAAAAATCAACATTTTTTTCTCCTGTACTGAAATCTATCATTTCCATGTTATACTCAGAGACATTCAGCCCAGGATTTGCATGTTATACTACATGCAAAACCACTAAAAGCAGCTATCGTAACTTGTGGTTTCCTGCTTAAAGGCTGTTTTAATGGGAAAAAATATATCAGTTAAAAAAAAAGCAGTTTTAAAGAAAGGGTCATCAACTTTTGTGTTTGTTATTCCTTAGCAAGGCACAACTACTGTCCATCTCATCTTTGGATAAGGCCATAAGAAAAACAACTGCTATAGCCTGAATCACTAAAAGCAACTTTCACATTAGAATCAGAGAATGAAACAGTCAAGTCAATCTTAAAAGCTCCAACTTAAAAAAACTAGTTGCACTGCAGATAAGTGAATTTCATATGTTATATACATAAGATATTTGACAATATTTAATTGCAATTCATGAACTGTCATCTGTATATACTCAGAAACACTGTCTCTGGAAAAGTTTAGTTTTATAATCGTGGCGTATGCCCTTGCCATGCCTCACAGTATATGTGCAATATTAACACCTTGTAGATTGCATGAAAACAACCAGGCAATTCTTCTGGTTTGCTTGGTGGGAAAAGTGCAATGAGGCCTGGGCAGGTGCATCACAACTGCAGCCACATCAAATACACGAGGTCCCCAGCTGATGGCCAGACACGCAGGTGCATGAAAACTCTCCAGCTCTGACCAGCCACCCAACCATACAGGTCTGCTGGAAAACCAAACAGCACATACCAGCTGAAGCCCCACTAAAGTAAAGGGGAAAAGCAGATATCCCCGACATTAACTATTACTACTCATCATCTCAACTACAAGAATGAAAGATTTCAGTGCTCCCTGTGATAATTCAGTGCAAAAGTCACCAGGATGATTTAGTTTAAACCAATTTCAGCACCAGTTCAAACTCAGACAGCTGATTTAGTCTGCTGGGCACACTCTACCACACATCCATCCATATTGTGCTCAGCCCCTCCAGCTCCAGTTCCATCAGCTAACAGAGTGCAGCTATGAGAAAGACAAACTGCTCAAGGTAGAACTATAAGGGATAATTTGAAAATATCCCTAAAAATAAATAAACTAAATACCTGCAGTCATTAGTGTAGGGCAAACTTACCTGACACTATGTGACAATTCATTTTACATAAAAATCACTTGTTCTGTGGGTTTTTTTGTAATATGTTACTTCAACTTTAAATATGTTAGCCTACCTTGCCCTGGCAACTATTGATACAGCCTTTAGCAGTGACACCTTTAATGACACACTTTGCTCCCACAGGTATGTCGTCATGCTTCAATGTTAATCCACTAGAAAAATATATAGAAAACACAACAGAATAAATTTAAAAACAAACAGGGTGTTTCACTATACAAGATACTTTCAGATACTCTTACGGAAATAAAAGCAAAAATGCCATCTAATTTATGTGAAAAAAATCCCGTATATCACTGAGACAAACCCCAAAGTATTACTATATAATTGTCACACGAAGAAAGGACAAAAAAGGAGAGATGGTTGAATTACCTAGCTTCAAGAATTGGTCTCATGCGAGATGACAAGTGTGTTGCATGACCAAATTCATCCTGCAATTCCAAAGGAATGTTAAAAGGTACTCCAATTCGAAAAGGAAGCTCCAAAAGACCAACCAAAAATTTCTCTGGTTTGCCCTCTAAGAGAAAAGAATAACACATGTTTAGAAAGAATTATGTGTGCTCATTGGATTTTTCTTGATTAAGGTTGCAATTAAGTCAAGTGGTTTGCAGCTGCAAAGTAAACAGGCTGTTCAGAATATGTAACCAAAGTTATTGTTTACTGATTGATCGTCTTTTTTTAACTTACACTAACATAAAACAATAGTTAAAACATAACAGCATAAGAAATATAACAGGAGAGTATTTAGAACATCACTACAGCACCTGAAACTGGACAAGTTCCTTGTAGACAGCTTTTTTAAAACATTTAAGTGCTTTAATTATAGTAAAATAAAATCATTTATGCAGCAAAACATTTTTGTTCTACAACTACCCCAAATCTGAGAGATAAAGATGAGTAATAATGTGTATTAAAAAAAGAAATGTGAGTGCATCCTCCCTCTGAAATCTGGCCCCATTAGACTGCCTCCAATTAGGCCCTAATAAATGAGATCAAGCAGAATGCTAACAAATGGGAGTTTGGAAATCAGAGTCATGTTTCGTGGAATCGAACTGTCTTGACCAACCAGCCTTTAAAATAAAGAAGCAAGGCACTGCTGAACTAAACAGTAAATATATGTCCTATGAAATAATTTTGAACTCAAATTAACAACTACTTTCACTACCCACAGGTGTCATTATCAAAGAGATTCCTTTGCACAAGAGAGGACACCTTGTACTGGCCAAAATTATTTACTGGTTATGACAAGAAAAAGACCTCAATCTTAGAGTGCCTACAGTTTTACTTATAAGTAAATGATAAAACCGTAAAACGATTTGAGAAAATAACAGTAAAATAACCACCTAAAAAACCCAGGAAATTCAGTTTTAACCAGCATTTATGATGATTTTTTAGTTTATCAAGAACTATAAATAGAGAAATAAAATATTTTGTTCCTCAGACAAAAATGCTGCTTTTTCAGTTTAGATTTTTTTTTTTTTTATTTTTGGAACCTACATACATAAAAGGTCACACAAATGTTAATATTTTGGAATAACGAGTGTGAAGATTTATGGCTGCCTTTGAGACAACACAAAACATCACAACAATAAAGACTTGAAATATTCAATTTTCAAGACTCCACATATTAAAAATGTTGAATAAAAAAGCAGCAATACATAGCAAAAGTTGCTTTTGGTATCCCTTGCGTTAAAAGATTCAAACTATTAGTTAATTAGATTTTTTCAAGTTTATATTCCTTTCCAAGGCGATTCATTTCAATTGTTACGGCTCAGGAATCTTTAATTGAATGCTTCTATACAGGGGAAAGCCACACTACTACTGAGAAAAATTTTTAAAATGCAAAATACAACTTCGCAACTTTTAAGATTCTCTTTTCATTTTGATAAAGATATAAAGGAGCAGATACAGTTCATTTTTGTTCAGAGATTTCTTTTTCTTTTCTTGGAAATATCTTGAGACTTCAATGACAAGTTTTCAGACATATGTTTAGATAGTTACTTTTCTCAAGTAATGCCAAACACTTTTTTCCTGTATTATCATACAAGAATACCTCTTTCTACTGTGCCAATAAGAAAAAGCTTTTAGAAGAATATGCTACAAAGAACTCTTTTCTGCCTAAAGGGTTTGCATTCAGAGAACCTCTTCTTTTGAGGAAGAAATAGGAGGCTACTGGAAACAGTGATTTTTTTTCTTGATCTTCTGAAAACAGATGTTAGCTTTATCTACCAAAATTGTAGTGAAAATATCCATTTTAAACGTTAAGGAATCAGTATTATTTTTACCTTCCTCTTTCCCCACCCTCTTGTAGATTCACAGAATGGTTGAGGTTGGAAGGGTTTTCTGGAGGTCCTCTGCTCAAGCCAGAGGCTTGTGACCCTGGTTCAAGCAGGGCCACCCTAGAGTAAATTGCCTAGGAACATGTCCAGACAACTTTTGAATATCCCAGAGCATGTAGACTCCACAACATATTGGGCAACTTGTCCCAGTACTAGGTCACCCTCACAGTGAAAACATAACCACAGAGAGTGGTTATCAGTGGCATGAAGTCTTGTTGGAAGGCAGTAAGTAGGGGCTGCCCCCGGGGTCAATACTGGGTTTTATTCTGTTTCACGTCTTCACTGATGATCTGGATGATGGGGTAGATTGTACCTTCAGCAAGTTTGCTGATGATACAAAACTGGGAAGAATGGCTGACAAACTTGAGAGTTGTGGTGCCACCCAGAGGGACCTCAACAGACTGCAGAACTGGGCTGTCAGAAACCTCTTGAAATTCAGCAAGAACAGTCCCCAAGCTGTCAACTAAGCACCTCGAAAGCAGCTTTGTGGAAGATTGCCTGGGATCCTGGTGGATAAGAGAGTGCACACAAGCCAACAATGTGCTCTTGCTGCAAAAGCAGCAATAACCTTCATGGGCTGTGTTAGAAGTGTTGCCAGCAGGTGGAGGGAGGTGATCCTTCCTCTCTACTCAGCATATGTGAGGCAACACTTGGAGTACTGCATCCAGTTCTGGGCATATTACCTTACAACACAGAAGCATGAGACCAGCAAAGGCCATGAAGATGATGAAGGGACTGGAGGGTGGTGATGCACTGGAATAATTTTCCCAGAAAAGTTGTTGTTGCCCCATTCCTGGAAGTGTTCATGGCCAGGTAGGATGGGGCTTTGAGCAACCTGGGCTAGTGGAAGGTGTCCCTGCCCATGGCAGGAGGGTTGGAACTAGATGATCTTTAGGGTCCCTTGCAGCACAAACCACTCTGTGATTCTGTCATCTCTCATATGAAGAAAGACTGGGAGAGCTGGGGCTGCTCTTCCTGGAGAAGAGAAGATTCATGGGGATCTTATCAATGTCTGTAAATAACTGAAGGGAGAGTGTAAAGAAAGTGGAGGCAGATTCTTTCCCGTGACAGAGGACCAGAGGCAATGGGCACACACTAAAACACAGGAGGTTGTCCTGTACATGCTGTGTGATGCAACTCAGGATGATCTGCTCCATGACCATTGCTGGCATTGAGGTCATGCTGACAGGCCCATAGTTCCCTGGATCCTCCTTCCAGCCCTTCTTGCAGATGGGCATCACATTTGCTCACCTCCAGACAACTGGGACCACTGTGGTCAGCCAGGACTGCTGGTAAATGATGGAAAGGGCTCAGTGAGCACTTCCACCAGCTCCCTCAGTACCTTTGGAAGGACCCCATCTGGCTCTATAGACCTGTATGTTTCTAATGGTATTGCTGACCATTTGCCCCCTTGGATTATTCATTCTGCTCCTTGTCCCTGTCTTCCAGCTAAGGGGGATGGGTACTTGGAGAACAATTGGTCTTATTATTAAAGACTGAGGCAGAGAAAGCATTAAGAACCTTATCCTTTTCCACTCTGCTTCCCTTCCACATCCATAAAGATGGAGATTCTCCTTAGCCCTCATTAGCCTTCCTAATGTATTTATAGAACATTTTTTGTTGTATTTTACAGCAGTAGCCAGATTAAGCTCTAATTGGGCTTTGGCTTTACTAATTTTCTCCCTGCATAACCTCATGACATCCTTGTAGTCCTCCTGAGTTGCCTGTCCCCTCTTCCAAAGGCCATAAACTCTCTTTTTTTTCACCTGAGTTCCAGCCAATGCTATCTTTTCAGCCAGGCTGGTCTTCTTCCCTGTCAGCTTGTCTTTCAGCACACAGGGACAGCCTGCTCCTCTGGCTTTAAGATTTCCTTCTGGAAGAATGTCCCGCCTTCATGAACTCCTTTGCCCTTCAGGACTGCCTCCCAAGGGATCCTGTCAACCACTCTCCTAAACAGGCCAAAGTCTGCCCTCTGGAAATCCAGCATGGCAGTTCTGTTAACCATCCTACTTACTTCTTCAAGAATAGAAAACTATCATTTTGTATACATTTGATCAATGTGCCCAAGACCAAGCCAGCTTCCGACCATCACATAACCCACCAGTCCTTTTCTGTTCATGAACAGTAAGTCCAGTGGGGTGCCCTCCCTGGTTGGCTCCCTCACCAGCAGTGTCAGTAAGTTATGTTCCACACACTCCAGGAATCTTCCAGAGTGTTTCCTCTCTGCTGTATTTCCTGCAGATACCTGCTTAGCTGAAGCCCCCCAGGAGAACAAGGGCTAGTGATTGTTATACTTCTCCCAGCTGCTTATATATTTCACCGCCTGTTCATCCTGGTTAAGTGGTCTTTAACACAGACTCTCACCACAACATCTGCCTTGTTGGCCTTCCCCCCACTTCTTACACACTCAACCCTATTGTCACCATCATCAAGCTCTAGAAAGTCAAAACACTCCCAGGCTACCCCACCACTTCTTCTTTGCCTATCCTTTCTGAAGGGGAACATAAATATAAATAGCCATGCAGGAAAGGTTTATAAACAAAAAGTAACCAACTACTAACAGATAAACGCAGACAAATATATCAGGAAATGAAATCATCTTAGAGGGTAAGAGATACAGGACTAGTAAAACCACACCAAAACCACGCTGTAACTGTACATTGTGTGTCTCACAGTCTTCAACAGTGTCATTAAAACCGAAGTCTATGAATTTTTGGGGGAAGATAAGATCTATACAGACTACTGTAGGTCACATACATATACACATACCAGAGTGTAAGGCAAGACAGACTAACATTAAACATATTTAACAGTATTATTTTTAATCTGGTATTCTAGTAAAGTATTTTATGATGGTTAATCCAAAGAGACAGACTCAATACAATCAAATGAGAATTTAGTTTTGCACAGGATTCTTCCCTTAATTAAAAAAAAAAAAACCCACTTCAATCTCAACATGCATATTTTAAATGTATAACCTGTTTCTTTAATGAGTTTCTGTGGTTTATGCATGAAAGTTGGCCTAATAAATACTAGTTTTATGAAAGAATATTTATGTCCATGGCATGAGGAAAAAGAGTGATTCTAATTAAGTAGAAGTTTCTTTTTCTAAGTACATTTGGGAAAGTTCACATTAGGGAGCTTTAGATTGCATCAAAACTTTTTTTTTTTTTTTTTTAAACTGACTGTACAGCAGAGCCAACACACTACAGGTCAGATCAAAACCTATTAGGAAAAACTTTTTTTCCCTGGAAATGCTTCATATTTGACATGCACATGCTACTTTTCAGTGCTGAAAATTACCTCTCAATTAAAACATGAATAATTTTGATATACAATGAATCAACTAGAAACAGTAACAGTAGAAGAATATTAGATTGGAATTCTTACCTATAATAGTAAATTTAAATACTTTAGATGGTAGAGGCCTCCCGGCGTAAGTGTCTGCATTACTTTCATTCAATACGACTTGCAGTTTCAAGGAGTAGTTCCCAAGTTTCTGAAGATTTTCTAAACAAAGATAAAAATACACTTAGAAAGAAAAAATCCCCTCTCCAACCAAAAAACGAAACCAACCAACCAACCAACCAAAAACCAAACCTCAAGATATTGAATATGCAAACTTACCCATTTTCTTAAACCAGTATGGCCATTTGCCTCCATGCTGACTGATATGGGAAATTATTTCTTTATTCTCAGTAGGTGCTGCAAAACAAACACAAGTATTTAGATTTTACACCATAAGTTTGCATCTTTTTTAAGCATTACTATCACTTATTACTATCACTTCTAGATCTACTAAATATCAATTCAGCTCCCCAATTAAACACATTGATCACAGCTAATCCAATTTTAATTAAAAACTGCTAGCCTCAGACACATGACACAAAGTAGCAGCCTTTCATTTGGTAACCCTTCATGTTCCTGCTTCACCTAGTCACTCCAGCTTTCTCTTTCCCTCAGCTCAAACCCACTTTATTTTTTGATATGCAATGAATCAAATAGAAGCACTAACAGCAGAGGAAAATAGGATTGAAATTCTTATCTATAATAGCAAATGTAAACACTTTATATGGCAGAGGCCTTCCTGCGCAAGTGTCTGCATTACTTTCATTACCATAAAGTCATAATTAAAGGTCAACCTAACCTTATTTTTTGGCCAAAGCTTTCAAGCCCCACTTCATCATAGCCCAGATAAAAACATTCCTCATATCCCAGATGTCTTTCCAGCCCTTTCTTCCCTGCACAAAGTGTTCCTAACTCAGTTCAGACAAGTAGTTTCTCATAGCCTAGTTCTCCTGCTATCCCACCCTTTCCTTTGGCAGCTGTTTCAATGCCCATCAGACTCCTCTGCTTTATCATTCTCTCAACCCTAATTCAAACTCCAATTTTGAACCAAATCTTGTATAATAAGACTCTCTACTAACAGATGAGGTATGAAGTTTCTTGTAGCTCATCTCTGTGTGTACTCAGTCCACAGTACATTCTGCCAAGTATTCCATTCATTGAAAGAGAAACATTTTGTACACTGTTGGTCTTCATATGGTTGTAATCATGTTACTCTTGTTTGTACAATTAGGGGTTTAACAGGTATGCCATGCCCAAATCTGCACTTACAGGATTTACTCATTGTTCTGGTGAAGAACAGGGGAACTACTCTAGTGATACCTCAATTGACTAGAGAAAAAAGACAAGAAGCAGTAGAAACAGTTTTAAGCACAAACTGCCATCAACGAATCAAGTTGTCAGGAGACACAACAGGTCTGAAGGCAGACTTTTCAGTGATCAGAAGCAAACGGGTTTATTTCTCCTAGGAACAACACTGACAAAATAGGATAATAGAAACACCATGTCTCTCTCAAGTCCATACATCCTGAACTCAGGATGGTGTATCTCAGTTAAGGTGGCATAACACTGATTTGTCATGTCGATAATCTGTAATACATGAACACCTTTTTTTAAATTCCAATCTCTTTATGCCCCAGCACACTACACTGGACAGTGGTCATGCACAGCAGACAGTTCCCAAATAATGAGAGCCATTAAAATATGATGTGTATTCTTATGACATGTATACTAAACTGAAGCTAAGATACTTCTATTTGGTTTTCTTTCACACGTATCACTATAATAATCTCAGTGCTTCAGAAAGGTATTTTTTACAATTCCAATATGATAAAGGAATTGGATTTTCCTATCATATATGGAAATAAACAAGGTAAAAAAGATTTTAACTTTCTATAAATTTCAAATACATTTGACATGGTAGAATTGGAGTTTTCAGATAATTTAGTGTTCTAATATGTGTTCAATGCAAAACTGAGTAATTTCAGCTGCCTTGGACAGAATGCAATTCTTCAACAATGCAATGTGAGAATATCAAGTAAAGCACCCACAAATGGAAACCACAAAACAGTAAATCACAGTAAATCACTAGATTTATACTTATTATATGTATATACACAAAGAAATACATTATCCATTATGCATTTATAAAATAATAAAGACAATTAAATATACTGAAATACTTACAATGTAAAATAACCTTCAGTTCAACAAGAAGTTTCTTTGAACCTCCATGGCTTGTACCTGGAAGTTTTTGCATTGTTTCTCCTTTTTTATTCAAAATTTCTATTCTTAACGCTCCTATATTTAAAAGGAAAAATAATGGACTTTTAAAATATACTGTGGATTATAAGTGATCAGAGATTGCTGTATGCTTCCTTTTTTTAACAAGAGTGCATAATAAATTTTTTAATTGGCATTTAATGTTTTATTATTTGGAAGAAAAAAAATATACCTATTGGTGTACCAGCAAATCTTGTTTCATTTGGTAATAACTCATCCCCTTCAGGCCATGTTACCGATAATCTGTCAGGAAGTCTAATAAAAAAGAAAGGATGAACAGTTTTTCAGTGATATTAAGAAAAGGTAATTTATCTTTAGCTGAATATACTGGAAACTATTTTTGGGGTAAAAAAAAAAACCCAAACCCTGAACTATTTCTTCTTGGTTTAAAATTTTGTTTCTACTGAAACAGCTGAAACAGCTGACTGCTCTCCCATTTGGGAATAAAACTGAACTTCTTTTTGTTGCTGAAGAAATACTAAAACTGTAATTAGAAACTCCACAACTATGTAATTACAACTCAGTGCTTACCTTGCCATTTCATCCTCTATGTATTTTTTAACGACTTTCTCAGACACTGTTCTGTCAAGTTTTGAGATTGGAATAATTCTCATTTCAGCATACAACGCCTGTGGTTCCTGAAATAAAAATTCAGTGCAGTTATAAATGGCCAGATTACAGTATGTCAGAGAAGACCAAGGGACTAGACAAGTTGACATAGACATAATGCAACAAGCTAATAAATACTACCTGCGGACAGCACAAGACACTGTTCTAAAATTTGCTGAAATCACAATGGTTAAGAATGGTTGCAAACATACTATTGATACCAACTGTGATACTCTATTTGATATGCAAATTTAAATGCATCAGATTGTTGACACTGGATAATAATTTTAATATATTTATATTAAAACTACAGTAACTAGTTTGATTATTTCTAGATTGCTGAATGTCAAAACCCACATAATTTTCAATAGTTTAAAAGTAATTTAAATAAATCTGACACAGGATTTTGTTTAAAGATTTCATAGGTAAACTAGGTGTGTGAATCCTTTCTATATTTGTCTTACCAAAGCAATTTGAACCTCTCCTCCAGTGGCAAATATATCCCCATCATGGTCTCCATACAAAAAAAATTTCTCGATACTTCCATAGAATATTGGATGAGTCTTAATACTTTTCACCTGCAAAGAGAAGACAACAATTAATGGCAATGCATTACTTCTGCATCAAATACATAGTATCTGCCCTTTAGAGGGTTCAAATCACCTATGACAAAACAAGCAAAACCCCAACATCAGTGAGCAACTAACTTACCAGCTGTCCAGTTTTGTATATTTTTCCATCCCACTCTATTGCAGCATACATTGTCCAAGGGCTCTGCAATCTTTTGGATGGTATATCAGTACGTACAGTTATTCCTTTAAAGACTGTGAATTTTATCTGTTTGTCATATTTTTCATGACAGTCTTTGAGCCACAAAGCAAATTCTCTGTCAATTTTCATTCGCTGCTCCTACGAAGAGATTACAAAAGAAATACATATTAGCAATGCATTAAAAAATTTAAATCTGACCACTTCAGAAGTTGGAACAATTTTAAGAGTACAGAGATACTGTACTCAAACATAAAAAAACCTAACAACAAAACCAAACCCCAAGGATTCTTCAGCTTGAAAACATGACAAAATTCTAGGAAAGCTACACTTCAAGTCAAAGAAAAGTGCTTCCCCCAGCAGCCATATTCCTCCATGAAGGGTGTCTTTCTACAAAAACTGTCATATAACATCTAAACAAAGTAACTGTTTGAGAAAATAAAGGGAAAAATACTGAGTCTTGTTTTCTCAGATTTAAAGATTCAGCCTTATTACTCACTAAAACAGAGATATATCTGCTACAAAGTCCTGCAGAAATGCACAAGGTGAATGTTATTTAGAACCAGGCAATATTCAGTGATATGAGCAAATTAGCAGTGAGCAAAGGTTTCTGTATCATGTGCATTAAACTTTTATCAAGAAGAAATACTTAACATAACGCAACTATCACCTGTCCATTGAAGATTCTCGTGAACAGAGTATTTTTATCTTTTAGCTTCAGCTCCAGATCCATGAAAGTGAGTTTGTTTGTGCTGACCTGGAACTTATCATTGGTAAACAATGCACCAGAAATTCTGTAGTAGCATTCAACTGGTGCCAATCCTCTCTTCTTTGGAGGAGCACACCAGTCAAAACTGAAACAAAAGGAGAAAGACATTAAAATCCCCCTTTATAAAGAGAGGTTTACATTATGGAAACAGACTGGTTTACATTGTAGAAACAGATTACCACTTACTCTTCCACGGTTGTGTATGGTATTAATCTACCATTCCAAAAACATTCAAAAATAGGCCTTTTTCCTCTGGCACCTTTTTCTACTATAAAGCAGTCATCATCATCATCATCGTTTAATCCTTGATTTAAAAAAAAAACAACAACAAAACCAACATAAATTCATTAAAAAAACTAATATAAAAAACCAGCGTAGACTAAATTAAGTTGAGCACAGTAGCAGTGCACATGATATCAAGGTAGCTATATACAACATAAGGAATTTTTTTCATATTTTAAATATACCAAGCAGAAAAACTAGGAAAGCTAAGTAAAAATTTTAAATAGGAGTTGAATATTACCAAATCTACCAAATTTGAAAGTTTTGAATTTGAATAAGTATTATTTTTCCTCTTAATTTCAACTGATGTTCTTCTAATATCATAAAATCTCTTCACAATTAAGCTCAAGATTTTGTAAAAAAAAAAAAAAAAACCAACACAGTATATTTTAAACTCCTCAGCATTTGAAAACTCATCACAACTGAATAAACTAATTTTAAATTAAGGACTTCAGACTACATGTTGTCCTTTGCAGTATTCTGCTATCAGAATCTTTTGAATCTAACTGCTGGTATTTTATTAGTTTCTTGGAGCAAAGATCTAACAGTCAGAAAGATGGAAAGTTTCAATCTGACTACAGTCCCTGAGAGTTTATAGTTTGAAATCAGACAGTGTTATACCAAAGATCAGGTTTACACAAATAAGTTACCACAACAGCCAATTTATTCACAGGATCTGTTCATCCAAAGAATGTGAACTTTTTTGTTCTGACACAACTTAAATCAGGTAATAATTTGCACTTCAATTTCAATTGTTTTAGTTTTTATTTCATTTAAACATTTAGAGTAGTGGAATTGTCTATGATAGGACTGACAAGTAGCAAAACATTTCACTCACTTGATGGATAGCACGGATCATCAGGGTATGTTTCTTTATCATACAGGAAAGGATGATATCGGATGATGCCTTCCACTATACCTTCTTCTTCAACATGTGCCTTAAACTCAAAACTATCTGCTGCAGTATTTATATACAATGTCTGCATGTCATCTTTGATCTCCCTCAGATTGACAATCTTTGGTACTTTTCCTTTTTCGAACATTGAAATCTGGAAGAAAACAAGTTGATTTTTCCTCAGATCAAAAGACAAAGTAATTAGCATTTTGACACTTGACTGTTAGCAAATGAATAAGTTCCTATGCTGCAACAATAAATAGTTTAGCTTTAAAAAAATTAAATTACATACACATCTTAAAATGCTGTAGTTCAAAACGCATGAATAAAGAGAAACAGGCACAATATGAAATAAGCTGCCATTAAAGAAGACTTTTGACTAATATGTAATAAAACCTCTTACCTGAATGTCGATGTTGTTGAAAGGGCTTATGTCTTTTGTTACAGCATTAGTTTCATTTCCTTTTGGTCCATGGATATAGTAGTGATAGATATGTCTGAAATATTTAAAAAAAAATATGCAAAACCAGAAAGTGAAATTCAGAAATTGCACATTGTAATTTAAAAAAAATCTAAATAAGCTCATATTTCTATTAAAATATCCAATTTTTGGATAAAATAGTTGGAAATAAATTGGAAGAAGATGCATAAGTGAAAAAAACCCCTATGATTGTTACATGGCTACCAGATCTTTTACATCAAAGCACAAACTAAAAAACTACTGTAAATTGTTCTGCACTCTGGAGATGAGAAAGAACTACAGATTAAGTTTTCCCCACTTTGTTTCTGATACCAGTTTTGTATCAATCACCTAATAGCAATTGAAACATTTAACCAACAATCACTATCCTTAAGTTATTTACCAATATTTGAATATAGGCAAGAGTCATGGATGTGCTCAATTCTTCTATTTCTAAACAGTATTTTCTAATGGGCATTTTTGCTCATTTAAGAAACTTCAAAAAACACGGTCAGATAGATTAATTCATTTCATAGATACAAAGTTTGAGAAAACTGAGGAACTTAACTCCATTTACTTCAACTTCTCAGCAAGCTAGCTAGTTCTTCCAACTTCAAAGACTGAATCCTTAAACCTTAGGGTGGTGGCATGCAGAAAAATGAGATTATACGAGTCAGTGGGACTGAATGCACCCGCAAGCGCTTTGCTTCTGACATCCACTACACTAAATGTGCCCCAAGAAGAAATCTTGCTTCCCAGCAAAAAGCTCCTCATAGCCTCATTGCTTAGGACTTTACAGTATGTCCAAATTGCTTAGCATTTTGTCTGCTTTTTCTCCAGACTTCAAAAGGTGCTCTCATGGCCTTAAGACATAGTTATTTTAGGGGTTCGTCTCCACTTCAAAGCATCCAAAACAATGAGGGCTCTGCTGTAGCCCACTAAAGCAGAATGAAACATGTGGCAAAAGGTATGGTAGAAAGGTATGTGGAGGTGTTTGAGGGAAAAAAGGCCATTACCAGAAAGCTAAATCTGATTAGTTTTACTGTAACAGCTACAGGGCATATACTTGAATAATTGCACCTGGTCCATTTCAGATGGAGGCAGCACTTTCATTTCAAGAGATGGTTGGAGAGAACTAATGCACATAACCCACAGTGTGGGTGTTTACCTGAACAGCACCTAGAAGCTAATAAGGGACCTAAGTTAATCTGTCAGTGCACATATACCTCTACATTTTCATGAAGTTAAAAAGGGTTTTGGCCACATGCAACACTGAATGATGTTTCATATGATAAGGTATTATCTAATCCTTATGATAATCCTCATTTTAAGAATTACCTATTATTATTAGATTACAGGTAATACAAAAATTAAAATTATAGTTCGAAAACAAAGGTCTATAATTTGCCAGATTTCAAATTTGATCTATCACTTCCTATTTCAGATCACATTCACAGAGAGACAGATCACCTTAACAGGTAAAACCAAACAATTCACAGGTATCTCAGACTTCCCTTTCTCCAGGCTCTGCAGGCCTACTGATGTACTACTGAGTGGAACAGTAGCATATATTGTTCACCCTCTTAAACTGGGATGAAGCAGCAATACTTTTTTGTCGTTGTTTAAAAAGCCAACCAATCAAAAGATTTCAAAAAACTATAAATACAAAGCTCTATACCAAGGTTAGGAGCACACCAGGGAGCAAAATAACTGATCAAGTTATTAATAATAAGATAACTAATTATTACATTAATAATACAGCATGACATATGCTACTAAAAATTACATTGGATAATTACGTTTCAATTATCAAGTCACATTAAAACTGATGCTTGTAAACATCTTTGATTTAGGGGGCCACATTCGGTTGTTCTAGTTTCTGTAAAATCAGTTAGATAGGAAAACTAACTGTAGCATCAACAAAGGATGTATGAACAGCTTTAACAGGAAGAAGGCCAGTGGCTGAGAACAAAAAGGAAGCAATTCATAATTAGCTGACTGTTAGTAGCCCATTTTTAACTAAAACCTTTCAAATCATCAACTTACGCCAGCTGCCTTGTCCAAAGGTGAAAGTAGTTTTTCAAGTACTGCATGTGATCTGGTTGTACACCTGTAATGACAACTGCTGTGAAACTCTCTTTATCCCTTTCTTCTAATATTAGATTATGAAGAAATCTTTCATCATCACTTGTGATGTGAGTAGAGTCAGATGGCTACAAAAAGAGCAAAATAATAAAAGTAGGAATGCAAACTGAATTTCTGAACTCCCATCAGCTTTGAAAGAGATTAAAAAACATAACAGGAAAGTAAAACAGAACATATGATGCTAAATATCAAAAAAGATTAAAGTTTAAAATAAAAGTTTCCAAACTAAAGTCAACAAGCTGAGAATGTGACATCCCTGACCCAGTTCATTTTCAACTCACATCACAGCATTTGAAGTGTTCAGTCTAGAAATGGATTTAATCATGTTTAATGTGACACTGTGGGATATCCATGTTCTCATCCATCAAATGGGACTATTATACGTATAACACATGAAGTCTTTTTTAAGAAAACAAAGCCAGAAAAAAATTATTTGCTTTTAAAGCAGGTTGCTTTCTATAACAAAAACTGAAGTGGAAGAAACACGCTTTTGCTGTAAAAAAGAAATGGTGAATTTCCGGATGAAATATGCAATAGTATCTCACAGAAACAGAAATTCTCAATTATGGAAGCTACTAGTTATCTTTTCCTGGATGGATGCACTTTACTCTTATGACAGGTTTCTAAGCTGCATAAAATCACAGTGGCTGATGTCATGCTTCATGCTGGACCAATGGATACTCCTTTACATTTGTTACATACAGAAAAGAAGCTATTTTTAAAACAAAGATTGAGATCTTTACAGTCATTGCAAACAATTGGTACAACTGAGAAGATAAGCTGTAGCAAATGCAGCTTCGTGCCTCGTTTTGCAGGAAAGCAGGCAAAACCCACATCACTAAGTCATGAAAGGAGACATGCCTTACCTGCCCATAGGTGGTGAAATAATTAATCAAGGGTGTTCTATTAAGACTTGCTTTTCTCAGGGAATCAAAGACCTCTCCTTAACCAAGAGAATAAACTACCATGGCACTTTCCCCTACATTCTTAGCATCCATCTCAACTAGAAAAGTACTATTTACTTATTGGCAATATTAAATGGTCCAGGGAAGTGAGTGCAGTAAAGACAGGTGACTATTATCCCTTGAGAGAAGATGATCAGCTGGGGTGCCATCAGTGCCACTTCTCTTCAGTGTTCTGGCCTTGTTCTACAATGCCTTATGTTTGATATTGATTACATCTTGATTTCTTTGCAAAAGTAACTTCCTTTGCCAACTCAATGCCTCAAAGACTCAATTATTCTTCTCACCCTAGTAAGCCATTACAACTTCTATTTCTGCCATAGCATTCTCTTGCTCACCTATGTGCAGCGCAGATCATTTTTCATGTCATTGAAGAGACAAATTTGCACACTTTATTTCACATTGCTATAATTAACTGGCCTAGGTATTTCAATGATTGGCAAAAAAATTCCTAAACCCAAGTTATCTATCCATTACCTTCACATCTCATTTCTATTACTTGAGGTCTTCACATCATCTCTTCTCTCTTGGATAGTTACAAGTTATTTTTTTCTTCTAATAGAACTTTACTTACATTTTTTAACTGTGTCAACTTTAATTTTATATTATCACCACAACTTTTCCAACAGTTGATTGCACCACCTTCTTGTACCACCTTTAGTAGTATCTACACACCTCCTTCAGCTACTTTCCTCCAACTTACACCTTTTTAATATTAAATATGGAGGGAAAGCATTTGTGTCCTCTACAAAAAAGCTGATTTTGTCTGCTTTTATTTTCAAAATAAAATAAAAGCAGACTATTTTATTTACAAAAATAGTGTCTATTTTTGTGACTCTACCTTCTCAACAATATTGTACAGAGATTAAAAACAAAACCCTGACAATTCATTTTTTGTTTCAAGTCACTGACCCAAGATTGGCACGATAAAAACCTTATTCATCTCCTGTTCCTTTCTCACCCATATAAAAGGCCAAGAACACTGATATATCCCATTTCATATGGGCTTAAGGTCTGATTACCTTGTCACACACAGCACCCACTCTGCCTCCCATCTGCACCCTTAGCTATGTTCTTTGCCTTTACCACCTTGCTCAAAAATATCCAAAGAACAGTTCTTTTCAGTCTTCCTCCTTATCTAACAGCTTTTTCGCTCAAGTTTTTCCTCTTCATGAAAAGCATCAGGACAGTTCATCTTAATTTTCAGCTGAATAGTTCACTTATTTTACAAAATAATGAATATTTGTAAAACCACTCGGTTTTGTTGATCTGGCTGGACTTCTCTCCCAGAAGAAGTTAGTTCTACAAATTTCTACATACACAATTTGTTTCCCTAATTTATTCATTGCTATTTCAAAGAACACACATTTTCTTTATGTTTCATACATAATAAAAAAATTGCTGTGCTTAGAAAAGTATTTTTAAATATATGGCATTTCTGTCCCTTAATTTTAACTGACAAAAGAAAACAGAAACACGTAGAAATGAAGCCTTATGATACAGTGTCTTCAAGTTTCCCATTATTTCCTTTTACACTCCAGAGTGAAAATGATTCAATAAGATGAAGATATCCTCAGATAAGTATTACATAAATATTATATAGTTAAATCACGTTAACCTGGGAAAGGCTTTCAATTAAAAAGGAGAAAGTATTAAGGCTATTTACCTTTCTGTTTCGAATGAAACCAGTATATATTGCTTCTTTGTGTTTCTCCTTCTTTTCAAAATCCTCTTTAGAAAGGACAAGTTCATGAACATCCTGAGATTCTGCAGGTTTGCTTATCATCTGATTTTATTAAAGAAAAAGCATTTAAAATCAAAATTAGACTTAAAATGAACATAATAAAATAGTTTAATGCTGTGATTAAAAGCTAGGAAATAACAATCTGATTATATAAAAATGTTTTAAAATAAAGACAGACATTTACTTACTCTGGCAGACTGTCCAACGAAGAACACTGCTTGTTTGCCTCCAACTCCAAAATAAGAGATATCACTATTTAAACTACGAGGCACTGGCAAAGGGCGTACATATCCTGAATGATCACTGAGAAAAAAAGTGCCCTTAATAAATTTTCTCAAGACAAAAGTAATGTAAAAAAAACAATGAAACTTCTGATCTAAATAGCTTATATTAAATTCTTCCTGCTTTCACCTTGTTAAAAAATCCTCAAATTTAGACCTATTAAAACTGTAATATTAAAATGTATGTGCCTAAGATTCTTGATGTATTCTTTCTGAAAGAATGATGACCAAATAAGTATTTTTCTAAGTCCTCTTATAAAACATTTCTGTCCCTTCTCACAAACTAAATCTTATTCAAATGAAAATGCTTAGAAAGCAAGCCTGACCCTTCTGACAGCATCCTTTCATAAAAGTACTTTTAAGTCAAAATGGGAAATAATGCCAACCAACCATTAATTGCAGGCTTGGAAAGACAGCATATGCTATCAGTAATTAAATTCCAAGTCTCTCAAGTCAGCCTGAACAGTCTTACCTAGTTTAGGACAAACATCTATTTTTAAATCATAGCAGTCCCAAATGAAAAAAAGGTGTAGAGGTTAACCTGTTATAATCTGCACATACACTCCCTTTGAACGGTAGCAACCCACAGTTTAAACCTGTAGCTTTAGAATGCTGTACATTTCCACTGTTACTGAACTCACCTGCAGCAATTTCAAAAGCAGTGAATTTCTTTACATATGACCCAGAACCACTTTTTATGCACTTATCTCCAGATGTTCGAAAGATTTTGCTATTTTATTTGGAGATGCTTCCAATGCAAAAAACCTTCCACTAACCGTATTACCACTTTCCACTGGCCCACTACTTTTTACAGTAGTTACTCAGATGAAAAGACTGAGGCTGTAATTCTCATCCTCACATTTACTATTCTATCCGAATATTCACACAGTACACCATAAGATCAGAAGAGCAGTTTCATATTATGAAGCTTCTCTACTTCCTACCTACAAAAAGTATAAATCTAATTATGTAATCATAAAATGACAGATTTTAGCTAAGTGTTGGTACAGAGTTATGTCTTAAAGGGGTATTTTGTGAACCTTTGCAGTTTGTTAATGGTTGTAGAAATATTTAAAACTTTCTAACCTTTCAAAGTCACCTTGTCTTGTAAACTTTGACAATCTATATACAGCCCAGTTGTTAAGCTGTTTAGAAGTCATTCCACTTCCATTATCGATCACAGCAACAGCTGGTTTTCCTTGGGAATCATCAAATAACTGAGGGGAAAAAAACCAACACAACTTAACAAGGAGCACCAATAAAAAGGGATAATGTGAACTACACCTAAAAAAGGTAGAATATCTCCATCTTACCAATTTTATCTGTATGCTCCGAATACCGGTATTTCGGGATGTAGCTGACAGAGAATTATCAATCAACTCAGCAAGGGCAAATGCTAAAGAAATTGAAGAAACATAACCCTATTAAATAGGAGTCAGAAAACAGACACCCACTTACCTTAACTATTCACTTAGCCTTAAGGAACACATTTCCATCCAGACTCTCTAAAAAGAAAGTTTTATTTCCTGCAATTTACAAGGTTCTTCAGAATGCTACAGTGCAAGGTGCAAGTTATACTGGCCATACACTTCAGACATGTAAAAGAAATCCCTTGAGTATTAGTACCATGCATCAACACTGAAGCATGTGGCATTTTCCCTCAAGTTGTTTTTGAAGTATAAAAAGAGTTCTACATTTTTTTGCAACTTTCTTCATTGTGAACAACAGCAGTTGAGCATCAGTTATGTGATCCATACTTACTATTCCATATCAAAGAATAATGGTCCTTCAGCAATACGTGAAATTGGTTAAGCACGGCCTTAGATATGTGGCAAATAAGGAGAATCAGCTGCAGTACACTTACACAAACTCAAAACTGCTATTTGCTCTAACAGTCAATTCTAGTACAAAACAAACAAAAGTAGACAGTTTAACATAGCTAGCTTGCAAATCTGAATTACTGGTATGTTGCGGAATTTCACAAAATACCTCAGTATGGTCTCCAAGAGCAAGAAATAGTAACACATTAGAAAAAATATATACCAGTAATGTCATTACAGAAGTGGATCTAAAAATTATTCTGTTTGTAGTCTTGATCATTGTAATCTCTTTATGATTGCAGAATTACAATCACAAGAAGACTTATGACCACCACAACTTTTGGGCCATTTTAAAAGCTTCTGTGGTAGCAATATGAATACATTCAGTGCACTCAGAGCACAAATCCTTTTTTTCTCTGTCACCTATTGCAGAGTACAGACAAGTTCAAGAACTGACATAAATGCATATGAAAAGTTTCTCATAAACACCTGAAGCTTGTTCACTCTTTAAGAGAGAATGATGACTTAAAACCACTGTAGCAAACTGTTTTAGTAATAACACAACAGAGGAAAATACTGCAAAAAGTTTACCATTCCTTCAGTAGTAGAAAAGTTTGCTGTACTACTAAAAAAAAAAGAAAAATCAACCCACTTCAAAAAGACAACATTGAGATTCCATCTTTAGATCACTTCTCTGATTCATCAATAAGTCTGTTTCAAGCTTTGGGGTAATTGTATTCACGGAGAGAAAACAGCAAATGTATGCTGGTGATACTGTCCAACGGACCAAACATAAGTTTAAAATTATTTTGAACTACAGCAAAATGTGAAGAAATTTTCATTATCTAGATCTGCAAACACTGACAGGCAAAGCCCAGTTAAACTTCACACTGTTCTTGCTTGCCCAGTGCTTCAACCTGTCCAGGTCTCTTTCCAAGATAGCTCTCTCCTGATCTGTCTACCTCACCATCCAGTTTAGCATCATCAGCAACACTGATAAATTCACAACAGAGAAGTATCTCATTCTACTGCTTTTGCTCTTATTTTTCTTGTAGTTTCCATCATGTATGGAAAAACACAGCTTTTAACCAGTGAGTTCAGCGTCTAGGCCAGAAGAGACCTTCAAAGATTATGTTGTTCCAACCCCTCGGCCACGGGCAAGGACATATTTAACTAGATCTCATTGCTCAAAGCTCCATCCTTGAACATTTCCAGGGATGAAGCAGCTACAGCTTCTCTGGGCAACCTGTTTCAGTGTCTCATCACCCTCACAGTACAGAATTTCTTCCTTATGTTCCATCTATATCTACTCTCTTTCAGTTTAAAACCACTATGCCACGTCCTGTCACTACAGGCCTTGGTAAAAAGCATCTTCCCATTTTTCTTATAAACATATTTTAAGTACTAGAAGGCTGCAATAAGGTCTCCACAAAGCCTTCTCTTCTCCAGGCTGAACAACCACAACTCTCAACATGTCTTCACAGGAGAGGTATTCCAGCTCTCTGATCATCTTTACAGCCCTCCTTGGACATGCTCTATTAGGTCCAGCTCTGCCTTGTGCTAGGGGCCACAGAGCTGGGTGAAAGTGCTCCAGGTGGATGTTTCACAGGAGCAGAGTATGGCTGGAGGATTCATCTCCCTTGACATGGTGGTCATACTACTTCTTACACAGCCCAGGATATGATTGGGTTTTTGTGTGCTGAAAGTACACATTGCTGGCTCACGTCCAACTTTTTGATTGACCAGTACCTCCAAGTCTTTCTTGACAAGGCTGCTCTCAATCCATTCAGCCCCCAGTCTGTATTGATACTGGGGATTGCTCTGACCCAAGTGCAGTTCGTAGTTCCCACAGTACTCCTTTTTAAAAATTAGTGTGATGTTTCCCTTTTTCCAGCTACTGGAAATTTTGCCTGACTGTCAGGTCTTTTCAAATATCATTGAGAATGGCTTGCTGACTACATCTGACAGTTCTAGACTCTGGGAAGCATTGCATGGGTCCCATGGACTTGTATATTTAGGTTCCTCAGATGGTCTTGAACCTGATCTTCTCCCCTGATGAATGGGAATATCCTTCCCCCAGTCCCTGCCTTTAGATTCAGGGACTCAAGATTGTGGGAGGAGCAACCGAAAGTGAAAACACAGGCAAAAAATTGTTTAGTACTTCAGTTTTCTCCATGCCAGTTGCCACTAGACCCCTCCCCCCCCCATTTCATTTATTGAGGGTACAATTTCTTTTGTCATCGTGTTTTAATGTATCTGTAGAAATCCTTATCATTCTTTTCACATTCCTTGCCAAATTTAGCTCTACCTGTGCCTTAGCTTTTCTGATCCCATCCCTACATTCCCAGGCAGTATCCCTGTATTATTCCCAGTATTCATGTCTCTGCTTCCACTGTCTATGCATTTCCCTCTTGTGTTTTAGTTTGACCAGGAGGTCTTTACTCAGACATACTAGTCTTCCTTGCCTGATTTCTTGCACATGAAAATCAATAGTTCCTATGCTCAAAGAGAAAAAAAGTCTTTAAATAGTTGCTCTCTTCTACTCCTTTATCCCCAAGGGCTGTTTCCCAGGGTGTCCCATCCACCCTGCCCCTAAGCAACTGAAAGTTTGCTTTCCTAAGGTTTAGAGTCCTGACTATACTTTTCACCTAGCCTATATTCATTGAGATCATGAATTCCACCAGGGTGTGATCAGTACAGATCAGGCTACTACCCCTCTAGACCCTTCCAGTAGGCTCCTCTGTGCTGGTGAGCAACAGGTCCACTAATGGCTGCTGGCAAGAACAAAGCACAGATCTCAACAGAATGCTTTGGGTGGTCTAATATAGCAATTCCCGTGCACAGGGATACACACATCACTGACCAAACTGTCAGTGTACTTTGAGCACAGTACCCCCAAACCTGAACCAAAACAGCGTCTTCATTGCAGCAGGGAACAAACGAAGCGCAGAAAGAGGAAAGGGGAAAAAGGAGACTGGTCCTTAAAAATATATTTGCTATTTATAGATGTCAATATTGTTTTAAAACAGAAATCACAGTGGGAATGGTATCATGCTTGAGTCTTGATAGTTGCATTTTTTTCTGCACAATTTTGAATGTGCTGTACCTAAGAAGTACATACTTAAAAAGTAATCATAGCCACAGACAGAATTTTCACAGAAGCCATAAACAGAAATTATTTTTTTCCATAAAACAATACAAAATGCTGGTTACATATTTAATACACCAGTTAGATAAAAACTAATTAAAGTAGCATCTTTTAAAATGAATACTTGCTCTTTTTGGTAAGTTAAGCCCTGTAGAACTCCCGACGGGAGGGCACACAAAATTCTACAGTAGCTCATAGAAAAACTGTTCACCAAATTCAAACACAAAGTTTCTTTTGTTTAGTATAGGAGACAAAAACCTGATAACACAAATGCACCCTGTCTGGATGACATCCAGGAGATTATTCAGGCTACAGTTATTTTGCTTCTAAAATATTCAAACTCCTTTAAGAAGTATTTGAGGAGATACCTTTATAAATCTGGATTATTACATGGCCACTTTAATTCATTTTTAAAAGAAAAATTTGCATGAGAAACATAGTTTTTTTTTACAGTTAAGACTTTTTTTTCACCAGCTATAACTAAAAGTTAAAAGTTAAACTAAATTTAACTCTTAGTTATAACCACATTACATTCATACAAACACCGTTTAAACACGATTATCTTGGCAACTACTTACGCAGAGGATTTTGCCCTTCGCTGGCATAGTACTCGTACATGCCACTTTTGACAAGTGTATCATAGTGGGGCAGGAAGTCAATTCGTTCCTTGGTTGCCAAAAGCAACATTTGATCAACTGACTGCAGCAGATATAAAGTGACTCCATCTTGAACAAGTTCGCCTGCAATGAAGATGAAATACAAGGTTATATTGAAGAGCACTACAAATTCTGCTCTCAAAACCAGTACTGGTTTACCCTCAGGTAATCTCTATATTTTGTTAGGCATTACCTGCTCAGCATTTAGCAACAACATTTAATTTAATATCTTTTCACATTTCCAAGCTTAATAATGCAGGTTTTCTCAGGTGATAGCTACATACATGCCACTATTCCCTATCATTTACAGAATCTGTAATGGACAGTAAAAAAATTACTTAGCATAACTGTCTTTCATACTAGCAAGTAGTTGTCGAAAACTTGCTTGTGAAAGTCACCTTTGTAACAATTCTTGGCAAACTATTACAGGACTTGTACTTTCAGTTCGCTATTGCGTTATTTCGTGTCACAGAGCATTAACAATCATCACGCGATCCTGACAATCAATATAAGAAATAGCTGTAATTATTTTGCCATCTAAGATACTTACTGAAGTTGTCTTCTGTAATTTCCTTCCTATTTGTTGTGGTGATAACAAACTTTTCATCAGTAGCTATGCCGAATGCCTATAAAAATTGAAGGGTATTCAGTTATGACAACTAAGTACTCCAAAAAGATTCAGAGAAATTAAAACAAACAAATAATAAAAAAAGGTGGTCTATTTACTTTGTCACAAACTACTGAGAAGTGATCAAATACTTTTCCTGTACTAACTCCTGGAACACAGTTCAAATCCAGAACTTAACTTCATTTGCCTTCTCAGCTTAGCCAAATCTGTCTGTACTAGAGTTGTTTTTCACCTGCTTAAAATATGCTCTAGTGAGCAATAGCAATTGTCAGAAGGAGGAAATGTCTTAAAGGTAATCACCTTGGGGGCTGAAGAACAAGAATGAACAGCTCTACTTCAGGCTGCACCTACAACAGCAATAGAGGGTGTCCCATATTTAACTGCACTGTTTCAAGATACTAAACCAACCTAGTATTTCTTAACATTGGATATATATTAAAGTCTATGTTCTTCAATTATATCATACATTTAAAAAAATAATAGATTTCTTTCAGAAAAATTCTTTACCACTAAAACACTGAAGTTTATTCTTCTGAACCTAAACAACTTTGCCACTTTGATGCCTCCAAATTTTGAATATGTTACTGTAGTTTTTGACTTTTTATCCTGCTTTCTACATGCATTTAAATGCCTCTGCATTTGCCCCTATTTTTGCACCCTGATGTTCAACATTAATCTCTTTCTCAAAATAATAAACTAAATATCTGTATTTTCTCCTGTCTTTCTGGGCCTTTGAAACTCAAGAAAAAGTCAGATCTAGTCTCATTAAACTCCATCAACCCATTCAGTCCTGCAGTCACAGCTCAGACAGGTGCTTTATGCACTTTTAGATATTCTTCCCTGAAACTCTGGAGTTCTCTGCAGCAGTTTGCCCTCATCATTTCCCATACCTCTTTCTTTCCATCCCTAGTACTCTGACTCATGAAAATACTTTTAAAACACTGCTTGAGGTTCCATTAGAAGCCTGCTTTTCATATTTCAGTTACTCTTTCCCCAATGGTGACCATGTTAAAAATATATTTATTATCCATCAGCAAAATTAGCAAAATTGTCAAATTTATCATAGCACTTGGTGTAAGTGAAACAGAGATGACATAAAGAGACTGATGTTCAGACTTAAGAACCTGGAGTAATCACACTTTTTAACTCTTCTACATTCAAATCACTTGAAGTCAACCTCTCACACTACACAAATTTCCACATGAAAAATCTGCATAGGAAAAAATATTAAATTGCTCAGAGCAAGGAAAGTAAGCAACAAAGGATATGGATACTAGAAAGCTAACATTCTACTGTGCCATTCGAGGTCAGTGGTTAATATAGAATAACTGTAGAGTTTTACACTGAAAGCACAGATAAGCATCTTTCCCTCTGGCTGTAATTACAGCTTCCCTGTTTTCTCAACCACCCAAAAGCTCTTCTGCTCTCAAAACCTTATGAAGAGTGCAGCATTTAAGGCAGCAAGAAGTTAGGAGGGGTAGTGCTTGCACAAGACAGCCGCCTGTTGCCTGAACAGGGGCAGCCTCCTCCTGCTTCTCTCCCCTACTCCATAGGTGAGCCTCATAGGCAGAGCTACACTTTTATTTCTTGGTTGAGCTCAGCACCTCTTGGGTGTCCACTGGCAGCAGGCCCTTTCCACCTCACTCCAAATGCTTTTCATTTCATGATAAGATACTAGGCAGGTTCATGGACTGAGTTTAGCAGTTCTAACTGCAGATAATCTGTTTTTCTTGTCCATGCCATAATTTAAGAGGCCATCTGCTTTGTAAGCTTTGGCCAGCTTAGAAGATTTCTCAGTTTGAATGCTTCACTTCTATATAAGACCTACTTCTACTTCCTCTTTCCCTCTGTCCTGCACTCTTCGCTATCCCAGCCCCTGTCCCTTCCCACTATGCCATGCAGCAGTGAGATGGCTGCACAGCTGTCCCATTATGAGGATACGGTCTCCAGATGAGCTGGTCATTGCTGAATTAAAGTGAATCTATTGGGTACTTTACTTGCACAGTTGATGACGTTTCATTTGATTCTGATAAACAACATTTGGGCAAATGTTTCATTTCTCGCTAAGATTTGTGCATGTAAGAGACAACATGATATCTTCTGTTGACTTCCTAAGAAGCTCAGGTTTACCTGCTGAGCCCTTTTCAGCCTAAGCATTGTGCCCTTTTCCAAATAAGCACTGACAATGCACAAAACTTGATAAAATTCACTTAATAACAGTACATTCAGATTCTTAATCTGTTGGTTATTCTATAATCACTGTCTAGACGCATGACCACAAGCTAGCTTTTTGTGTCACCAAAATCTCGAAGAGCACAATACAATCACTATACTCAGAAATGCTTCTGCACGTTCACGATGAAAGCATGTTTGGAGGTTACTGTGTTAAAACAGTTAAGCAGAAAGATTTTATCTGTTTGGATAGAAAAGAAAAGACTTCAAGGAAAAAAGAGACAACCTTCAAATTAATCCACAAGCTAGGAGAGGTAGATGTGTGAAAAGGCAGGGATCCCTAAGCTATTGGTTACATATGATCACTACATGCAAACGCAAGAGTTAAAATGTTACAAAGATTAACAGCTATGTGCATACAGAAGAGGAAGAAGGCCAACTAAAACCTAAAAAGTATAATTATATCAATGAACCAAAATTTGAATATTCTGGGAAAACAACCATAGCTGTTGACTAAAAGCCAAACTGGTTGCTAAACCACACTGAGAGTACGCTGCAGGGCTTTGATGCCAGAAAGCTGTAGGGGTGATCAGTGCGAGAGGAGGCCATCAACTGTCCTGAGCCAGTCATGACCAGTGCCAGATGGCTCTCAAACTACACATCCAGATTTCAACCAGAAGGGCACATGATGCTCCTGCTCAAACTTATCAGGGTAGAAACAGAAGAGACAAATGAGAAAGAATAGAGGAGATGCAGAGGACACATTGCTAGGGACCTCCATGTTCTCCACACCAGAGCAGGGATGGCCCCGAAGGCACTGAGGCCCATGGAGGACCCGTGTCAGGGCAGGTAACTTCCCTTCTCTGTCTTCCTACTCTCACAAGGCTGTGGCCTATGGACAACACTCCATAGTGGAAAAAAAAACAGTAAAAAGCATGGAGGAGGAGCAAAAGCAGAATAAAGCCCTGTAAATGGCCCTGACCTCTCACACCACCTGTTGCATCACCAAAGGAATTGGGATTGACCAAGCGTTGTGTATTGGGAAAACAAGGGTAGCTTAGACTAGGAAGGGGGGAAAAAAAGGTTTATGACAAAAGATGAGCTTGGAGAAGAAGAAGGAAGAGCATTTACCTAAGTGTTTAACTGCCCCCTCAATCAATAAGCAAAAATTTGTGTTAATTGGCAGTAAGTCAAATTAAGAAAAAAAATCCCTGAGTCAAGCCTGTTTTACACATGGCAGGATACCAGTCCTTACACCCATGGAATGGTACCTAAGGAAAAGAAGTTGTCTTTGTACAAACAAAAGAAATGCACTCTTTATAAGCTGAAGGTTCAGTCTGGAGCATCATCTATGCTTCATGCTAAATAAATAAAGCTAATAGCTCTCAATTTGTTGGTAGCTATTTATGACATGAGATTAGTATACTGCTAAAAGAGTTTGAGACAGCCACATGAATGCCCCGTGCCCAACAAGCTCTCAGCAGATCAATTTACAGGTAAGATACATGAAAGTGTGAGTGAACTGTGATCTCTCTAACCCCTTAATCTGAATCAAGAAGCAAGGTTCAATTTATGTACTTGCTTCAGTCACAGGTTTTCTTTACAAACTAAAAAGAAAACCAAATTCAAAACAAAATACAAGCCCAAAAATCACAGATAACTCCTCAGTAGCAAAGACTCCTTCAAATAGACCTCCATTTCTTTTCTCTTCCACATATTAGCACATAAGCACAAAACCAAGTTTTGTTGCTACTTTATCTGCACCTGCACAGCAAGGCTTACCTGGGTACAAAGCCAACTAAAACACTTAACATAAAGTTAACATATATTTCACCTCCAGATTTACTATCTGCCTTGGAAAAGGTGTTCAGCAAGCAAATATGTAACTTTGTGTGTATCGCCACAGTTTGCAGTCACATGAATAGGGTTGCAGTGGTAAGTGAAGGAGAAATAACATGCTGTAAACACAGAATCATTGGTCTGCTTCTTCTGGTCCTACAGTCTATTACCATAGAATAATAATTTCTGGTGGTGACTTTTCAAACTGAAGGAATGGAACACTCCATTAAGACAGAGGTCAAACAGTGAAATCAAAACTACAGTATCTTTATAGAAGACATTTAACCCCTGGCAATCCAAACTTTTCCAAAACAAAGTTGTTTCCTACAATAAGCAACTTCTGCACCCTTAAAATGCTGTCTCCTTCTACAGTAACCGACCTTAGCAGGCAGATGCATAAGAATGATGTGAAGAACTGATCCCAGAGCTTGATGAGACTTAACAGCCACAGTTATCTTCCTCCAAGCGGCATCTAGCCCAGAAATATTTTTCTGGCTAAGAGAACTGTACTGCCAACACAAAACTACTAAAGGGGACCTGAATTGTATCAGTTAAATGTAAAGAAATCTCGCAATGTCATTTTCAATGCTGTCCTTCATAGATAGTTACTTAGCTACCCAACATTACAAAAAAAACCAATACAGCTTTTTCAGTATTTCACACTGATCGAGCAGCTCCTTTGCAGAAACTTGTTCTGGAATCTGGAAAAATGAAGCCAATTCAAACTCTGAGAGGCCTGTAGCATTCTGTAACTTTGCATGGGATTAACTAAATATCCCACACTATTTGCCAAGTTGCCATCTGAACAACATACATTTATCAGTTAGCTATCCCACTTTATGCCACATCAAAAAGAGTTACCAGTCCAAATTGAGAGATTTTATATAGCAACAAATGGATGAAATGGTAGTACACATTTACAGAAAAGGATTTCACTCTCAAATCACAGACTTTCAAACCAAGAACTGTCTTTCAGTAATGCTTATG